AGATGGGGAGCCACTGCAGAAAAGGCCTGTTCTCATGTTGCCACCCTCCGGACCTCTCAAGGAGGAGGCACATGAAGGAGGGCCTCAGAAGATGATCTCAGGGTCCTGGTAGGTTTGGCTGCAAGAACATAATTTGACTGTGAGATCAGTTCACATTCCTACGCTCAGAAAGTGTTCAGAGGTGCCCTGTTTTGTAAATAACTGTCCACATTTGAGCATTTTACTTAGCTTTGAATCCACTTTCCCCCATTTGAATTAAGCCAGAATAGTCCACACCTGCACGCATTTGTATATGAGGAACAGCTTTGGTCTTTCCCATTCATACTAGTATGTGCTCCCTTTTGCATTTGTCCCTGCCTTCTAATTTCTTAGTTCTGTTTTGCTGATGAAGTGCTGACAGGGCATGTGCACAGATAACTGTGTGCACATTATTATTTTTATTATCATCATCATCATCATCATCCAGAAAATGCACAAAAGCACATAGTCAGGCAATTGTAAATTCTTACCACACACTTTTGCAATTTTCTGGTTTTATGCAAATCTGAGGGATCAAAAGAGGCAGGGGAATGTAAGGCGTCACTCCTCTGTTCAGGAGTGTGCCAGGATCAACAAGGAAGAAATTAAAGCAATTGGAAATTCTTGGCGCACACTTTTCAGATTGCTGTGCAATATCTGGTGTAGTTCCCCCCCCCCCCCGTGGTTTGCTTGTGTAGTTTTCTGGTTTTGTGCAATTTGAGGGATTGTTGGGGTGGGGAGAGAGACAAGTACCATTCAGGAGCCCACCAGAAATAATTAAGGCCACAGCCAGAAAAGAAATAAAAAAGCATACACTTTTCAGCTTGCTGCTGCTGTAAACATTTTTAATATGATTTGCTTGTGCAGTTCAGTCCCCAACCATTCCTGCCACCATTCCTGATGCTGCCACCTCTTCCCACTCCATGGCTTCCACTTACTTGACTGCTGCTATATTGTGGAAAGTGACTGCTTTGGCTGGACCCAGATCACTCCTCTTTCCAAATAGAACCCCCAACTCCTGCATCAGCTGTCGCCATGGCCATAACAGATGGTGAGAAGTCTGTCAACCCCCAGCTTTGGCCCAGCATTGGAGCAGTAGCCAGTTCTTCTCTCTTCCTCTCCACCCAGCTGCTCCCCAGATTAGATCTATTATTCCTACCTTGACACCTCAGTGGCCTTGGCCACCTTGTTTTCAATTCTGCTGTGGCCTGCACCCCTAGCATATTTCCTAAGCAGTTTTATTGCATGTGTGGATTCCCCTGCAGGAAACAGGCATATGCAGCCAAAGTGGGGCTGTTTGAAAGCCCTCTTGAAAACAGTTCTCTTTGCAGAAGCTACCTGCCTATCCTCCTACCCACCTTACCCCCTGACAACTCCAGATCATTCCAGGCAGCCTGACACAAGGCAATTTGAGGCTTTCTCAACCCAATTTGGTTAAAGCATGGATTATTTGGTTAAAGCATTGAGCTTCGGCTGAATCCTGTGCACAACGCTATTATTTTCTGATGCTTTTGGTTAAAATCAGTGCAATATGGAATGATTCGGTCCACCATCGTATTCAAAATGGCAGCTGACAGCATCCAAAACTTGCTGCTCCCTCTCAGGAACTGTCACACCAAATTGGGTGACAGTATCTTCAGAGGTGACCAAATCAGCACTGTTTGGAATGGTTCAGTCAGCCATTTTGATTCAAAATGGTGTCCAATGGTATCCAAATATAGGCCCAAACCTGCTCCTTCATCATACCAAATTCAGTGAGGTCCAGACTGGCACAGTTCGGAACAATCACAGTTCTGTCTTTCATTCACTACTGCTTGGAAAAAAAGATGATAGTTATACTTCAGTGACTATTTCATTCTTGGGACTGTAGACAATCTTGCCAGGTTGTCAGGCTTTATTGTCCTTCATTTAGATGCAATTGCAAAGCAGTAGATCAGTGGTAAATTGTAGCATTCATTGTCATAAAGGACTTCTTTATTTTTTATTCACAGCAGTAATTAATTTAGAAATGAGCATAATTTCCTTTGAAAAACAGGTGCTTGGTGTTTGGTTTGGTTTTTTATTAAAAAGCCTTTGAAGGGAAAACCCCTCAAGTTATTGTCTATACATCATTCTGTAAAAATGACATCTTTTTAAAATTACTGATTCTAAAAATTACTGATTCTACATAGGGTGGCAGAATATTACAATGATTTTTCCTTGTGCAGCCTATATGAGTTGAGAGAGATCATAGAATCATAGAGTTCAAAGGGAGTCTGTTGTCTATGCTCTGGTAACCTCTAGGTTAGATTACTGCAATGTGTTAAACATGGAGCTGTCTCCGAAGACAATTCAGAAACTGGTGCAAAATGTGGCAGCCAGGTTACTCACCAGGGCAGAACAGATTGAGCATGTTACAGCAATCCTGGCCCGACTGCACTGACTGCTAATCAGTTTCCATGCCCAATTCAAAATTCTGGTTTTGACCTATAAAGCTTTCAATGGCTCAGGACCACAGTAACTTAAGGACTGTGCCACACCAAGTGCTCCAGAGGCAATCCGCACCCCAGATGGATGCCTTACAAGATGAGCCGCAGTCTGCAGTCTTGTTTGAAGTATAAACCTGTTCAGCACAGGGAGAACACCACTAGTTTGGGCAGGTGAACAATTCACCAACAGAACTTCCATTTTATCTGGATTGAACTTCAGTTTTTTGGCCATCATCCACTCCATTATCACGCAACAAAGTGATGATCCAGGTAATCTTTGGAAGAATGTTCTCATCTTTATATAAGCAATAGCAACAAAGCACATAAAACATCGCTATAAAAAGGACAATTTATATAACTTTAAACTTCTTTCTGGATTTGTTCAGATGTAACTTAAGTATAATGTAGATAGATTTGCACTAAATTATCTGTCAACATTCAGCTTCCATTTGATGATTCATATAGAATTGGCCCAAATATCATTTTTAAATAAACTGTGGCTCCAAAACAGCTGTACAAATGTTGACATTTGTTACCCTGCTTTACTTTATTTTACATCCAAAAAGACAAGGCAGTCTTCTTTTGTAAACCACATTTCTGTTTCTACACTTGTTCAGCACTTTATTCTTTGAAAAGAGGCTCGGCTGACATCATCTATTAGATAACAAATAATAACAGCAATTACACAAGGTCCTAGTTTAAGATGGAGCAACTGTGTCTGCCGTTGTCATTATTCATCACACATTGCAAGGGGAGTGCTGACTAATAGACCGTACTAAGCACTTTCAAAGCAGCAACATGAAACTGAAATAGTTTATGTGTTAGCAACATGACTTGGTCCTCTTTTTAGTTCCCAACCTCTTCACTGAACCCTTCTATTAAATACGAAGTCCAACTGTACTTCATTTTGCTATTTGCTGGCTGCAGAATTGAATGGTACCATTTTACCGAATATTCTCCCAAGGGAGAAATTCTTCAACAGTCTTTTGGGGGCAAAGGGTGCTTATCAACAGCAACAGCAGCCTTTTCTCTTTTCTTTAAGGGTCTTACTCCCTCTTTTATTCTTTTTGCAGTAGCAGCACATAGTGCCCGGCACTTAGCATTGCTGTAGAGCATGTTTTTAGGGGGGGGACTGGGGAGATGGCCACCAAATACAGAGGCACGGCATATTATGCAAAATTGCACTCTTCGGGGAAGAGGGAGGCATGAAAACAATAATTCTCATGGAGCAATCTGTTCTGAGAAATTCTGACATAACTCTATTCCTAAACATATATCTTGCCTGGGGACTTGGAGAGGAGGAAATCCAAACCATTCCTTCAGTATGATCAAACAAAGCTATTTTGGTAGCCATTTTCAGACTGGGGAGCACATTGTAAATTGCTTTTCTTGAGTTCCTCAAGAAGGGGCGTAGTTCTGGGGTCCAAATGGCTTGCCTGTGTATGGCTCTACATTCAGGCCCCTCCATCAATTGAAGCAGGGGTGAGGACCCCAGGCCTAGGAACTGAATGAAGCCCTCCAGACCTCTCTTATCTGCTCCTCAAAACTCTCTTGGGCCCACCACACCTCCTCACTGGCCCTTCTTTGCATCATAAGCATTTCCTCCAGCTGTAATGTGTCCTCAAATTCTGATCATGCCCCTTGCTTGTCTAGATAGAGTGGGATGTATGAGTGCATGGTGTTACCTGCCCACCACTGGCATGTGGGCCTTGGAAGGTCACCCAGAATGGAACGTGGCCCTCGGCCTACAAAAGTTTCCTAAGTAGCAGAGTTCAGAACTTGGGAGGTCTCCTACCAATTTTTTTTGCTAGATAGACTAATGGTTTGACTCAGAAGAGAGAGAGACAGAGAGAGTCTGTAAGTCATACAAATATATAACTGCACAAGATATGCTCAGCCAGGCTCTTTACGAAATTGATTTATGTTCCTGTAGGTAAGGAATGAAAGAATTCCTTGGGAGGGGAAAAATAAATCATGCCTGCAGATTCACATGATGGTTCAATTTCATTTCTTTAATAGGTGATAGCAACAAATAATTTCTTATGCTATTGAAGCCAAGCTTTTATTGTGCAGAGCATTGACAAAACCTGCTGTAGTAATAATAATAATAATAATAATAATAATAATTGTAGCTGGAATAACACAGAAGGCTTCTAATTACTTTCAGCAGGAGAGAGGATAAAATCCAGTATCAAACTATGCAATCAAATTATTTTTATCCCAACCATGTACAGGAAGTACACTGTGTGACACAGATATTGGTTCAAAATCTTTACTAGCAACGTTAATTTGAGTTTGTTGCCAGTTTTCGGCAAAGCATCTTCCTTCTGGCTGCTGAGTTTTCACTGTGGAGACAGAAGGATTGAACAGCAGCTGCGAGAAGGCCAGGCGGTACAGTACAACCTATAAAGGCCAAACCTCTTCCTAACAAGAAGTTCTTAATCTGTGGTGGAAGGCCAAGGCGGGGGGGGGGGCAAGTGAACCTTTGAAGGTGCTTCACAGTCTGGGTGTAGCAGAAGAAAGAAAGAAAAAGAAAGAAAGAAAGAAAGAAAGAAAGAAAGAAAGAAAGAAAGAAAGAGCTCCCTTATGCAGATCTGGAGCCAGCAAGTGTGCCTCTGTGGGTTATCTAAATTAATGGTTGTGTTTCTTTCTTTCTTTCTTCCTTCCTTCCTTCCTTCCTTCCTTCCTTCCTTCCTTCCTTCCTTCCTTTACCCTCATCATTCACTCATAGTGTTGAAAAGAATGTATATAGGTCCTTGATTATCATCCTTCCACTGTTTTCTTAGAAACATCATGCTCCTAAAAATAGGAGAACCTGAAAGGTAGATGCATCTCTGTGTTGCTGCCAGGTCATAGAATCATACAATTCATTGAGTTGGAAGGGACCCCAATAATCTAGTCCAATTCCCTGCAATGCAGGATGGCAGGTGAAGAATCCCTGCAGATGGTCAATCAACCTCTGCTTAAAAACCTCCAAGGAAGGAGAGTCCACAACCTCTAGAAGGAGTTCATTCCACTGTCGAACAACTCTTACTGCTGATAGATAGATGATAGATGATAGATGATAGATAGATAGATAGATAGATAGATAGATAGATAGATAGATAGATAGATAGATAGATGATACATAGATAGATGATAGACAGATAGATAGATGATAGGTAGGTAGGTAGATGATAGATGATAGATAGATAGATAGATAGATAGATGATGATAGATAGATGATGATAGATAGATAGATGATGATAGATAGATAGCTGATAGATAGATGATAGATAGATAGATGATAGATAGATAGATAGATATAGATAGATAGATAGGTAGATCCCTTTAGATATTTGAAGATGCCTTAACAGTCTTGCCCTGTGGCCACCTATAATGCGTGTGATGTCACAAATTGGGCTTTCTTTCAACTTCACCTCCATTCACCCCCACTTTTCCTTGGTTCAAATCCAGATGGGAAGGATTGAGTGCCTGGGGCCAGCAAAATGCCCCATGTTGTCCTGGCTCTGCAATTATCTGAGGCCTAATTGTATTGGGAGTAAAATCCTCTGGTGAGTTGACCTCTCCCATTTTGTCCCCCTTCAGTCTGACACCAACTGTGCTTTGCCTTGCCAGTGCGTTGCCAGTTGTATTGGTTTGGCTAGGTCAGAAGAAAACACCCAGAGGATGTTCAGTTTTACAGATTAAAGTCTATAAATGCTGAGCCGCAAGGCATAAACATCAAGATAGTGCTGACATGTTCCCAGAGGACATGAAAATGCCAAAGAAAACTTTAATGTGAAAATGTCTAAGAATACAGTGACCCGGTCAAATGTCTGTGAATGGAAAGAAAGTCTGATAGGAGATAAATATTGAGACTAATGTTACAACCCCAGAGATTCCCCCTCCATGTCAAGTTCCTCAGTATTTCATTTCTTTCCCCTCTCCTTCCCAATATATAGCTTAGCTTTAGAAGTTCAAAATGCTGAAAATCTGTGACCTTAACATTGCCATATTAAAATATTGTGGAAGAGTGGATTTATAATAAAAGATCACAGGATGAAATTTCCATTTTAATTATAGTCCACAATCTCCGGAATCCAGACAGAAGCCTTGCACAGGTGATAACATCCCAGAATCATTTCCTGCAATACTGTGAGGGGGTTACCTACTGTTATTATTTTCTCTTTTAAACAGATACTTTTGAAAGCATCTCAGGTGCATATTTAAAACTGAGGAAGCGGTTTGACCTTTCATTTAATAACGCATTTATCTTAAAACTGCTGAAGATTGCATGGCAAATAATAAAGCCAACTTCAGAAATCTCATGACTGCTCTTTCTTTACTGAAGCAAAGAGATCTGTGTAACAACCATCTCAATGCATTTTTGCCGAGACGAATTTGCCTGTTAGCATAATGTAAAAGCATCAGGCCAGTGCTCTTCTGTAGCAAAATGCCATGGCTCGGCCCTGTCAGCTCACATGGCAGCATGTTTGGATAGGGCAAACTGCAGTGTTCTGATGAGTCATTGCAGCAGCATTGTGAGACATGTTGCCCCAGTGGGATTGAGTGGTTCGGGGGTGGAGAACCACCAGCCCACAGACTAGTCATTGCCCACCAGGATGTCCTGTTTGGTGGTTGAGGCCATTTCCCCTAACCATGCCCATCTCTTAATCGGCTGGTGTCACTGATGGGACTTCAGATGAGCAGAGGTGCTTTGCCAGTGCATTCACTGTGGTATTATTTTAGTGTACCATTAGATTCCTAATAAGGGGATGCGGGTGGCGCTGTGGGTTAAACCACAGAGCCTAGGGCTTGCCGATCAGAAGGTCGGCGGTTCGAATCCCCGCGACGGGGTGAGCTCCCGTTGCTCGGTCCCTGCTCCTGCCAACCTAGCAGTTCGAAAGCACGTCAAAGTGCAAGTAGATAAATAGGTACCACTCCGGTGGGAAGGTAAACAGCATTTCCGTGCACTGCTCTGGTTCTCCAGAAGCGGCTTAGTCATGCTGGCCACATGATCCAGAAGCTGTACCTCAGCTCCCTCAGCCAGTAAAGCGAGATGAGCGCCGCAACCCCAGAGTTGGTCACGACTGGACCTAATGGTCAGGGGTCCCTTTACCTTTACCTAGATTCCTGATACCAAAATAAAACCCCAAATAAATAAACCACCTCCTGTGATCTTTTTAATAAAAGGAATAGGTGATGAAGGATCCTATATATTTGCTAAATTTTAGGCTTGGGGGCAAGCTACGCATGACGTATGCAAATTGATGATCATATTTTCCTAACATATTTTTTCTTTAGTGGAAAGGTAGATGGGATAAAAACATATTCCAGTTGATAGATAGCTAAATAAAAAAATGCAGGGGACTGCTAGTTTGACTGAGGAAGGTCCGTTTAACTCCTTACCTTTTGCAGTTAAGTTGCCCCAATTTAAATGGCTCCTAGTGCTCTTGCTGCATTGAAATAAAGGCAAAATACATTGGAAGATGTTAGTTTGACTCCTTTGTTTGTGAATTCTAGGTCCATTAACACTGTGACATTGGTCGTAGAACAGGAGAAATATTGTGTGGCTTTTCCTAAACTAATTTTGGGGCAGAAGCGTACGCAGAAGAGTGGGGATGTAATTTCCCTACTTCTTCAGTAATTTTCTCTGTATTAAAAAAAAAATTTGAGACAGTATTTATTTTTCCTTTGCCAGAAAGATTTACCTTAGTATGACTCTTGAAAAAGAAAGCTCAACTAAAATTAATAGATCTGTGTCCTTAACGCATTCATGAGGCAGGTCTAGGAGGAAATGGGAGACAGGCAAAAATACAACTCAGTGAAGGTGATATATGGGCAGATAAAAGATGTGAATGTAGCTAGACTTTCAGATAGACATTACTGGTTTTTCTTTGGCGGCTATGAACGCTATATTAAAAGATAATGCCATCTCCAGGACGTGTGTTTCATCTACAAGTTGTGCATTTTCATGCATCTTTGGAAATAGTCACTTGGGAAATAGTCAGAAATGATGGCCCCCACAACTGCACTGCCACCACACACTGTTGGTCTGTTTTCAGTTTTTTCCCTTCAGCTTTTGCTAAAATGGGATGGCTCTAGATCAGCATATTACTCCGAGTCAGGGTGGTCCAATGTGTGGGCCATTTTTGGTGGCCCTAGACAGCATTGCACACACACACAGCCCCCTCACTGCTGTCCCAAAGCCAGGTGAGCGAAGCACTGGGCTTTGGGAAGGAGGTGTGAGGGCCTTGACAGGGTCGTAATGTCCTCCCTCCTCCATCCCAAAACCTAGTTAGTGCTTTCCCAGCTTTGGGAAGAAGGTGGGAGTGCTCTAGGACCTCGTGTCTCCTTCCCAAAGCTCAGCACCTCACTTAGCCATCTTTGAGAAGGTAGCGCAAGGGCTGGGCGGTGGGGCATTAAATTTTGGCCGCACTCCCCACCACCACCACACGACAAGGCACTGTGCGGCCTGCAAGTTCTGTGTCAAAGTACTCTTCCAGCCCACTAGGTATGAGAAGTTGAACTGCCCTTCTCAGAGAGGGATCACCTCTCTGAAAGTGGCTATGGCCAGGTAGAATAATCCCAAGAGATGGAGAGGTTTGGGCTGGGTTTCATCTGCTGCTGCATTTTGCCTCTTGTAAAATGGTTGTTGCAGGCAGTTGAAGGAAGCCAATCCCTAGGGCAATCCGTAAATTTCCTTAATTCCACAAACACACAGGCACAAAAAGACTGATAGTGTTTGGAGGTAATGTAGAAGCCAGTTAAGATGATTACTTGCCTTTAGTCCCGTAAAGTTAATGGAATGAGAAGTACTTTGGCTTAAGTGGTTTGTGATATGAATAGTCAATATATTAAAGCACTGCTTCATCCAAACTAACTCATTTTGGAATTTTGTATGATTTGATTTGCAAAACACCAGTGTGCAATGCCTGTTCAGAGAGTAAAGGAAGGAAGAGAAAATGACCTAAAAGGAAACGATAAACTAGAGACCAAAAAGACCTTGAAAAATGAATATGAAGGAGAAAGAGAGGATTGCACCTCAGAAATGTGGGTCAATTCAGTTGCACATTTATCCGGTGTAATGATAATATTTGGAATAGAGCAGCAGCTGAAAGCTGTCTAGGGTGGGGAGAAGGAAATACAGAACTTTTGAGAGGTGACATGATAGTCAGGTATACTATTTAGACCAGGGATGAGAAACCTCCAGCCTGTGGGCCAAATTTGGCTTAGTAGGTCTCAAGTTGGCCTGCGAGACCATATCTTCCAAATAATGTCCACCTACCTTACACCTGAAATCCTATGCTCTATCAGGTGTGGGGCACATGGAGATGCGGCTGTATTGTTTATGCAATCAAAATTCTCATGGGCAACTTGATCACACAGCTGATCCCTGCAAAAAGAAGGGATTGGAGTCACCCCCCTCCATCTGCTGATGAACTGCATGACTGAGCTGCCTGCAGAGAACTCAATAACACAGCTGATCTCTGCAGAAAATATATTTGCAAGCCCTGTGCTCAGCACTTCCCAAGTGGTGAGCATATGGCTGTCTAAGCCCTTTGCACAGTTCCCAAGCACCCAACCACTAGTTGGCTGTCAGGCAGCTTCACAAGCACTGGGCAAGGGACTTGGGCTGGTTGGGTGGGACAACTCCCTGTTCATCATCTGATGTCATAATGATGTCAGGGTGATTGACAGGTGGGCTGCCTCCTCTGCCTATCTTAGCTGGGCCACAGCCAATTGGGACAGATAAGGATCTGGTCTGTTGGGTCAAAAAGTTCTCCACCTCCAAAAGAACTCAATGCATGAACTGCAGCAAAGAGGAATAGGTGAAGCCACCAAGTGGAAGGACCAGGAAGGGTTATGGCTCAGTGGTTGAGCACATGCTTTGCATGCAGAAGGTCTGAGGTTCAATTCCCAGAATCTCCAGGTAAGGCTGGGAAATATCCTCATCTGAAACATTTGAAAACTTCTGCTGATCTGTGTAGCCAATGCTGAGCTAGATCAAACTATGGTCTGACTCACATGTCAGCTCATATATGTTCCCCGTGTTCAATCCTTGACATTTTGCTAAGAGGATCAGGTGGCAGGAAATGGGAATGTCTTCAGGCCGAGATCCTAGATGTCAACAGCCAGCCAAAGGAGATAAAAGTGGGAGGAAATGGACCATTATTCTCACCTGGTCCAAGTCAACTTCCCAACGTTCCTATGAATGAGGCAGAATGAAGATCTTATGACAGGACAAAGTGGGCAGAAGAGTCAGACATAGGAAGAATGTAGGAAGTGTGGATTGGGTTTCATTTACAGGCAGCAATGAACAGATTGGAATTTTTAGTAGAGTTACTCCTGCTAAGAGCCAGTGTGGTGTAGTGGATAGGAGTGGTGGACTCGTAATCTGGTGAACTGGGTTCGCCACTTTGAGACTCCTTAGGGTAGTGATAAAGCGGGATATCAAATCCAAACTCTTCTCCTCCTTTTTCTTCTCCTTCTTCTAACATTCCATTTCACAAATTATTTTGTATAAGCTCCCCCCCCCCCTGCAGTACATTTTAATTTAGATCTACAATATGTTTGCTTTCAGACATCAACATGGCAGGAGAGCCCAAACCATACAGACCTAAGCCTGGAAACAAGCGGCCACTTTCAGCTCTCTACAGGTAGGCTCATCCGCTCCTTACACTACCTAGGAACAGCTTCTGAGTCTTCAGGGTATGTTCCTCATGACGGTGAAAAATTATCACTTAAATAAGGGTCCATCTTGTAATCCCTTGGCACAGGAACCTGGCCAGAAAATAAATAAGTAAATGATGGCAACTTTGTCACCCATTCCTTGCCTCACTTTGATATTTATAGCTTAACATTCTGGTGGCTTTTTCCCACCAGGGACTAGGGCAAGTTCTCACCTGCACGCAGCATCTTACAACCCATCTGTGAACATTTGGGAATTAAGTAAGACTCCCACCATATCATCCAACAATTCTTGATGCCCTTTAGGACATATTAAAGTCAGCCATATGTACACAGTTGTCTTTATGGCAGCGGGTCTAATTTTAAGGGTTTGGTAAAATCCTTTCTTTTTAACAGAGCATATTAGTTAGTCTTGTTGAGGGGTAAACAACTTAGAGCCATGGTGTTTGAAGGGCTCCCTAATCCCAGAAGAACCTTCATGGTAAATAATCAGTTTTTTCTCACACACACACATACAAACCCTATCCTGGAGTAAAGTGGGTGGCAAGTTGCTCAAGCAAGTGGTTATCAGCTGATTCCGAACTCTCTGGGATATCTAGATCCATTTCAAACCAGTTTCAGTCTGAGTTTGGCACCCATGGCTTTGGTTAACTTGGTTGGGTGAACTAGACCAGGAGAAATGCAAAAGTAGTGCAAGTCTGCTAGTCCCATTGAATTAATGGAAGCCCTCTCAAGAGTGTAAGTAACTCTTTGGATCCTGGACATTATCTCTGGATTGGAATCACAATTGTTAGAAAATGTGTTCCTGGTTGAACCCAGCCCCCGCCCTCTTAAAAATAAGGACAGTACAGGCTGCTGCATAATAAGCAAGAATTGCATTTTGTCAGCACAATTCATAATCTGCTGAGTTACTTGTCAATATTAGCAGAGGAAGGAGGAATGCAAACATAAAATCTCTATCTTAGGGGTGTTAGGAAGGCAGCCTTCTATTGTTTTTTGATTACGTACAAGTAAGCATGTGCTGAAGTGCCACTGGTTGTTTGCATTAGAACAGTCAGCCCCATTTTGCTATGCCAAGTCTGATGGCCTCATTACAGCTTGTTGATGCAGGGTAGAAAAAGGTCAGCTGGCATCAGCTTTATCCAAATAAGTATTGATGTAGCTAGGAAAGCAGTACTTGAAGATGACAGCTGAACGTATATTTCCTCATACAGTTGCTGTGGATCTCAGGGCTGTATCCATATTGATCCAGTTCTGTGAAAGACATCAGATAGGCAAATCTGTTGCTGAAAAGCTGAGATCCGTCAAACCTTATCATCTTCAAGTGCAGGTGTTCAGAGCAAAATAAACTAAAATACGACAGAGCAGGGATGGTTATTGATTGCTGGGCTGCTTTCTTCTTTAGAATACTCACAAACCTATTTTATTTATTTATCTATCAGAATTGTTTATAGTCCTCCTTTTCTCCAAAGATTCTGTGGGTGGGTGGGGTAAACATCTCAAAATATGTGCTAGTGGAGTGTGGGGAGAGGAAATGGTAAGTGGGGGGGCATTGCAAGATAAAATATAACAACCCTGTCTGTAGCTTCTTTGCTACAGATCACCCTCTCTTGGTGGCATCTTACTGTCAAGGCCTTGCAAGACCAGGGCTGGAAGGGACAGAGGTAAGAGTACATAGCCCATGTCAGGCCAAGAGAAAGTGCCAGAGCACTGACTTAACATAGGGGGCCAGAGACAAGTCCAAGTCCAGGTCCAAAGCAGCCAACAGTGGTCAGAGAGACCACAGGCAGATATGTTGTCACAGAAAGTAGATGGCCAAGTTCCAAAAGGAAGACGTGGGGCAGGATGATGACAGCTGCAAGTCTAGCCTAGCACTGAATGATGAAGACTCAATATGCAACAATTGTATAAGGCCAGCAAATATCCCATTGGCTCTTCAGATCACCTGGCCTGGTGACTGTGGCTCCTCGCTGTCTCTACGATCTGGGTGGCGCTGCAACATGAGAGATACCTAGCCAGTAATTCTTTCTGCTTGAGAGCTTCCCATGCCCTGGCATCTTATACCAGGTGGCATTTGAGGTTTCGGAGCACAAGGTGACTGCAGGTGGTGTGGTTTTTCAAGTGTCTCAGCACAGTGATGGAGCATACTTAAGAAACCCCATAGGTGTCATGAATAAAAGCATTTAATGTGTGAAGGACCAGCAGCTTATTAATATTCCTTATTAAATTTAAAGGTCTACTCATAAAACCCTTGATCATTGCTATGCTTAGTCATACCTATCTTCTTTATATAGAGAGTAGTAAACTTATGTATATTGTTTTAGAACGACGTTACAAGTTTTCTTGGCAGATAAAATTAAAAGCTGTATAATTAAAGCATAAGTGTAATGGAGAATACACTTTATCAGCAGGAGAACAATGGAAAGAAAGCTATGCTGGATTGCTCTTCATAAGGAACCACCCTGCAAAATTAAGGGTGCTGAGAGGTGATGAATAATGTGTGAATAAACCCCACGATTAGAGCTTATTATTATCCATGTAACGCTGCAGTTTTAACATCTTTATTTTAGTTTCATTGCACTAAGTTACTAATTTAAATTAAAGAGCAATTTAAATGAAAGGCCAATGGATAATTGCTTTCCTCTATTGCCTGAAACTCTTTGAAGTAATTTACTGTATCACTACAAATCACCTAAAACCATTTAGTCAAATATACTAAGGGAGGGTCAAATGGAGGGCAGCTGTATTTTGAGCAAATTGAATCTCAACTCTTGAGAATGGATTTCAACCAGATTTTTAATTTCAGTGCTTTATCCATAGGTCATCGCACATCCCCCCCCCCGCTCCCTTTCTTTCAGAGAAATGCACCCCCAGTTATATATTTTATCTGAATATTGAAGTTGTCCCTCTTGCCTTTATTCCAAAACTTTATAGCTGTCCATTAGCTTCTGTTGGTCTTTGTTACAAAATTTTGTATTCCTTGCTTTCCTTTTTATATTTACTGGCTGCTTCTTCTTAATGGAGCTCAAGGTGTGATATACATTGCCCCCTGCCATCCCATTTTATCCTCACAACACTGAGAGATAGAGACTGACCCAAGGCCATCTGCTTCGTGGCTGGCTGGGGATTTGAATGTGGGTTTCCCCTGTTGTAATCAAAAACTCTAACCACTACATCACAGTGTGTAGAAGGTCCTTTCTGAAGTCCACTGATGTTGGTTCAAAGATTTTGTACCAAATTTTGTAACAAAGACCAACAAAGACCTTGGGAAGTGTAGATGCCAGGTGAAAGTGGAAAATCTCAAGTGTGCAAAGGAGAATTTCCTCACACTGTCTATGATTTTCTTGGGTGCTTCTGTCCATCATAAGGATGGTGTTCTGGTGATGGTCGTGATCTTCTGCCAGACTTCGGTCCTGCCAGATGCCCGGCATTGCCCTCCTGTGTGCCCAAAGCAGGAGTGGGAAACCTGTGGCCCTGCAGATGTTGTTGGACAGCAACTCCTACCAGACCCACCTGGCATGGCCAAGAGTCAGGAGTGATGGAAGCTGGACTTCAGCAACATCTGGAGGACCACATATTCCCCATTATACTACAACGTATAATGTCAACCTTGTGCAGTATGTTATCTATGCCTTCTTTGAATATATTTAACTATTTCACTGTATTGTTTGTTTAACAGACTTGAATCGAAGGAGCCTTTCCTGTCTGTTGGGTGAGTAAGAACCTGTAGCTGAGTACTGTAGTTTTGCTTTTAATTTCACAGGCTACCCAGCTCTCTTAATGTCTTCAACAAGATTTAGGGTTTAGTACCATCATTGCTTTACTGTGGCACTCATTAAAATTTGGGGGGATGGGGATAGAGGAGTGATCACAAAAAGCACTGTATTACACACAGATACACACACACACACACATTTTGGTTGGAGATTTTTCTCAGAAACTATTCAGTTATACATAACTGGTGTAGTTCAATTTCCAACTACAGTATTGTCTTGCTTAATTTGAAGGTCTAATCACAAAGTGAGCAGCTTTGCTGGTTTATTTAGTAATACATTTAGCTGCAATCTAAGTAGCGTTCGTACTGGCCTGATGTTTTCTCTGATTTACTGGAAGTTAAATGTATTTTTTTCCTAATTTCATTAACTTTTATTAGCCATAAACATATGATCAGATGAACATCCTAGCTAATTGTTTTTCCTCTGTGTGACCTTAATATATACCCTGAATAGTCTTCATAATGGAAAAAGTCAACTGAACATAGGATCACGTCCCCTTCCTTTATTGGTTACATTATTGCTTTCCTCTTCTGTTTCTGTCTCTTTCCTGTATGCGTTATCCAAAGAAATATATTTGCTTGTGCTTTTTTGCAGTTGCATACAGACAACCATTTCCTTACCAGTTAATTTTTGCATTTTTTTGTGATATTTCACTTGATGTAAAACCGACTTCTAGAAATCTAGCAGAATCTAGCAGAGCCACCATAAGCCTTGACTCAAGTGCTCCATCTTCCCCTTATTCCAAAGTACATGTAATAAGAAGTTCTGAAGCAGAATTTCCCAAACTTGGGTCTCCTACTGATTTTGGACTACAATTCCCATCATCCCTGACCACTGTTCCCTACAATGAAGGGAATTGTAGTCCAACAACCGCTGGAGACCCAAGTTTGGGAAACACTGTTTTAAAGCTGCTGCTGTTGATTTTGAACTTCCTTCCCCGTGATATTCAAATTTAAGGAAGTGTGCCATGTTCTACCTATGCTTAGCTAACAAACCAGAATATCAAATCATAGTTTGATCCCAGTTTGCTTTATCTATCCATGGTTAGAATACGCCACAGTTCCTACAGATTCAGATATCCCGAAGTACACAAGCATACCTTGGAGATAGTGTGAGTTTGGTTCCAGACCACTGCAATAGGCTGAATATTGCAATAAAGTTAGCCATTCAAATTTTTTTTGTTTCCCAGTACAGTGGACCCTTGGGTTGCAAACGTGATCCGTGCGGGATGCACATTCTCAACCCACTATGGCGCGTCTGTGCACGCGCAGGTTGTGATTCAGCGCTTCTGCGCATGCGCAAAGCACGATTTAACACTTCTGCGCATGCGCGACTGCCAAAACCCGGAAGTAACCCGTTCCGGTACTTCCAGGTTTTGGCAGTCCGTATCCCAAAAAAACACAAACCTGTAGCATCTGTAACCCGAGGTATGACTGTACATATAAAAGTTATGTTTGCACTATACTGCAGTCTATTAAGCCAGGCCCCACCGGCTGCAAAGGGAGAAAGGTGAAAACCCACTCCAGCCCTAGCCAGCTCCACTTCCATGAGGGGGGGGCACTTCCTTCCCCTGGAAGCAGCCAAGCTGCCTACAGCTGCACCCCTGTAGTGAGTTCTAAAGTGGAAACCTTTTACATTGGTACGGATGGGAGCCTTTTTATTCTGAAATCTCTCCAACATTTGAAGAAGAGCGGGAGGCAGCCGTTGAAGGAGGTTTCCTTAAGAGACCTGGCTACCGGCAGTCATATTGCACTAGGCAAGAAGCTATACTTCAAACAAAGGGTAGTTTTCTTTAGTGGACCAGTCTCTGAGCAACAAGCACTTTAGGTGAATAGGTTTGAAGTGTGAAGGCTGAGCCAAGATTACCAAAAATAATCCTGCAAATTAGCTTTGCAAAAGGTTTAGCCGGTCAGATTGGTTAGAGAGACAAGAAGGCTGTAATTAACAGCAGTGATGGCATGAGTGTTTTCACATCTATATCATAGCAGATTCCGATGAAGATCGCAAAGTAGCTATGCGTAGGAGTAAAGAAACAGGAAGCTAACGGATAAAAATACAGGTGCGGTGGTAAAATGTAACGTTAAAAGTGGCCAAAACATCTTTCCCTCACCTCCATTTTGTGAATGTAACAGCGCTGCTAGATCCAGCCAGAGGGCCAACTGTTCCAGTGTCCTGTTTTCAAAGTTGCCATCATAGATTATCATGGGAAACCCACAAACAGAACCCAAGCACAATAGCACTCTCCCCACCTGTGATTCCCAGCAACTGATAATCAGAGGCATACTGCTGCCAACAGTGATAGTGGAACGTTTTGCCCAGTGACCACATCCATGCCTTCCTTTCCACGGCACAGGGATTGGGAACCTGTGTTCCTCTGGATAATGTTGGACTACAGCTGGTCACTCCAGCTGGGGCTGAAGGGACTTGGGAATCCAACAACATCTGGAGGGACATAGGCTTCCCATGCCATTATACAAGGAAATCAGCTCTGTTTATTGATTGCGTGCACAGTTTGATGATTGTGGCTTAGTATACAGCTTAGATGTATGTATCGTTTCATCTGTTCTAAACCTGCCTTCCCAAATGTGTTCACCAGAGGTTTTGGAGCCCCCACTCCTATCAGACCCAGGTTTCTTCACTGGCAATGTGGGGGGGGGGGCAACCAAGAAGGTAAATGATATATTAGTAGCTTCTGCTGACCACAGGACTGAAAAGGATTTGGTGTTTTAAGTCTATTTTAAGTCAAGTGGGAGATAAAAATTCCATTACATGTTTGCAATTTAATTAACACAACCTGTTCCTTCTTATTTCATTAAGGGCCCATTATAAGAGTAATCATGACTAGTGAAAGATTATCATTGCTTTTACCGGGTGCTTTGGCTAAGTAAGAAATTGCTTAAGGCCTCAGCAGATCTCTGCAATTGCAAAGCAACTTCTGTGGGCTTCATGAGCAAAAAAGACCTGTTTCAGAACGATTCCCGTTCATTTCGGTGAAGGAGTTTGCGAAAAGCTCTTCTCGGCTGCTTGCAAGGTGAAAACTGAAAGCACTATCTTGGCAGCAGCTTTCATTAGTGTTGAGAGTACTGACAAATGATTCGGAGCTGGCTCAGCCTTCCAAGTCTCCTATTTTCCTGCTGCCTTCTCTGAGAGTTAATTTAGTTCTGACTGGATTGTCAAGTGCTAATGACTTGTATAGATGAAGTATTAATGGTCACACTGGTGTCTTCTTCTGCGCAGGGGGGAAAAGTAGGTGTAACACTAAATGAATCAATGCTCGCCATCACACAACTGCATGCTGGGGTTGTTGTTTTTGTATTGGATAGTGGAGGGAGGGTTCATTACCACACAAGGAGAAGAGATTTAGCCCAGGGGTCAGAAACAATTTTCATCCAAATGGCTGTTGTGATCAAACGTCTGGGGGCTGCATCATCATCATCGTAGTTGTTGCTGTTATACCACCCTTCATGACAAGATCTCAGGGCGGTTCACAGAATAAAATACAAGATAAAAACACAAGTTTTAAAACAAAATGAAATAATAATCCCTTCCTTCCCACAGACACATTTAAAAGGCTGTAGATTATTAATCAGACAAAGGACTTGTTGAAAAGGAGTGTTTTCACCCGTTACCTAAAAATATATAATGAAGGTGCCAGGCAAACCTCCCTGGGGAGAGCATTCCACAAATGGGGAGCCACTACAGAAAAGGCCCTGTTCTCGTGTTGCCACCCTCCGGATCTCACATGGAGGAGGCACACTAAGAAGGGTCTCACATGATGAATGCAGAGTCTGGAATGGTTTATGCCAGTGCTGGTGTGGCTAGAGGGAGAACTGAGTGGACTCACTTATGTAACTCATTACTTTTGTACAATAGGCTCCCATACAACATGCAGAGGTTCTACACATGCAAACATGCCTGCCTACATCCTTCATGCAAGCAAGAGGTATTACCGTTCACGGCGGCAGTTCAGCCAGGCAAAAAGGCTGAAGCCAACACACAGAGCTATTGTCCCATTAGGATTTTTGAGAGCTTTAGTCTAACAGTAATAGATACATGCAGGAGATATATATATAAAAAATAATAATAAAATAGTCCAGTAGCACCTTAGAGACCAACTAAGTTTGTTCTTGGTATGAGCTTCCGTGTGCATGCACACTACAATTTTTTTATTTTATATATACAGTGGTACCTCGGGTTAAGTACTTAATTCGTTCCGGAGGTCCGTTCTTAACCTGAAACTTTTCTTAACCTGAAGCACCATTTTAGCTAATGGGGCTTCCTGCTGCTGCCGTGCCGCCAGAGCACGATTTCTGTTCTCATCCTGAAGCAAAGTTCTTAACCTGAAGCAATATTTCTCAGTTAGTGGCGTCTGTAACCTGAAGTGTATGTAACCTGAGGTACCACTGTGTGTGTGTGTGTGTGTGTGTGTGTGTGTGTATTTCTACTGTGTCAGACCAAAACAGCTACCTACCTGAATCTAGATACATGCCGGGTGTGTGGTTGCATAGTTTTCTCTTCTCATTGTGAGCTGAAGTCCTGATAAAAATCTGGAGCCCCCATGCCTGCTATTAACTTTTTAAGAAACCTCAGGAGTACTTTCTAATGATGTGTTTAACATCACCATAGAGTTATTCTCTAGGTAAAATTTCAGACTTGGACCTAATGGCAAAATGCTTTCTCCTGCGTTCTTGTATTTATTAAACCCTGGCTGCAGTCACACACTGAGTTACGTTTGCCTAGAGCAAAATGCACAATCATCTGGCAAACATGACAAATCTGTTGCTTGTCTCCACTTCTTCACACTGTGGTGTCAAATGCGGAGGAATTCTAGATGGAACTGCAATGAGTACCAAAACTAACTTTCCGTTTCTGAAATGTCATCGGGTTCTTAGCTAAACCAAAAACATACTTTCTTTTCTTTTTTTTATAAGATATTTATTAAGATTTTTTAAAATATTACAATAAAAAATGAAAAAGAAAAAGAAAATACAAAATAAAAATGATTAAAAACCACTCAATTTTTCCATTGCTTATTTTTCCTTAGCTTGTTTCCCGGACCTCCTCATACCTCCCTTTTTGTATTCCAGTTCAGTTTGTTGGTTCAGCAAATCCTTACCCTCTTTATTTATCCTAATCTTTGGTCTTAAAATAGTAACGTTAGATTTTTACCTCTTAACAACCCATTTTTCATATTCCCTTAAAGCATTACAGCTGGAAACCACTTAATTTCTATCCAACATCGTTCTAACATTCATTAATTTTACAATATTTCTGTAGATAATCTTTGAACTTCTTCCAATCTTCTTCCACCGACTCTTCTCCCTGGTCTCGGATTCTGCCAGTCATTTCTGCCAGTTCCATATAGTCCATCAACTTCATCTGCCATTCTTCCAGAGTGGGTAAATCTTGTGTCTTCCAATACTTTGCAATGAGTATTCTTGCTGCTGTTGTGGCATACATGAAAAAAGTTCTATCCTTCTTTGGCACCAATTGACCGACTATGCCTAGGAGAAAGGCCTCTGGTTTCTTCAAGAAGGTATATTTAAATACCTTTTTCAGTTCATTATATATCATTTCCCAGAAAGCCTTAATCCTTGGGCACGTCCACCAAAGGTGAAAGAATGTACCTTCAGTTTCTTTACATTTCCAACATTTGTTATCGGGCAAATGATAAATTTTTGCAAGCTTGACTGGGGTCATGTACCACCTGTATATCATTTTCATAATATTCTCTCTTAAGGCATTACATGCCGTAAACTTCATACCTGTGGTCCATAACTGTTCCCAGTCAGCCATCATTATGTTATGTCCAACATCTTGTGCCCATTTAATCATAGCAGATTTCACCGTTTCATCCTGAGTATTCCATTTCAACAGCAAGTTATACATCTTTGACAAAATCTTAGTTTTGGGTTCTAATAGTTCTGTTTCTAATTTTGATTTTTCCACCTGGAAACCAATTTTCTTATCCAAATTATATGCCTCCATTATCTGATAATAATGAAGCCAGTCTCGCACTTTGTTTTTAATTTCTCAAAACTCTGCAATTTCAGTCTATCTCCGTCTTGTTCCAAAATTTCCCAATATTTCGGCCATTTGGCCTCCATATTGAGCTTTTTCAGAGCTTTTGCTTCCATCGGTGACAGCCACCTTGGAGTTTTATTTTCCAATAAGTCCTTGTATCTTATCCAGACATTAAACAATGCTTTCCTGACAATGTGATTTTTAAATGCTTTATGTGCTTTGATCTTATCATACCACAGATATGCATGCCATCCAAATACATTGTTGAAACCTTCTAGATCCAAAATGTCAGTGTTTTCAAGAAGCAACCATTCTTTCAACCAGCAAAAAGCTGCTGATTCATAGTAAAGTTTAAGGTCTGGCAGGGCAAACCCCCCTCTTTCCTTTGCATCTGTTAATATTTTAAATTTTATTCTAGGCTTCTTGCCCTGCCAGACAAATTTAGAAATATCTCTCTGCCACCTCTTGAAACAGTCCATTTTGTCCACAATTTGCAGTGTTTGAAACAAAAACAACATTCTAGGCAATACATTCATTTTTACCGCAGCAATACGGCCCAGCAGTGAAAGCTTCAAATTTGACCAAATTTCTAAATCTTTTTCACTTCAGCCCAGCATTTTTCATAGTTGTCTTTAAATAAATTCCCATTTTTGCTGTCATGTTAATCCCCAAGTATTTAACTTTCTTAACCACTGTTAAACCTGTCTCATTCTGAAACCTCTCTCTCTCCATTGGTGTTAACTTTTTCTCTAAAACCTTGGTCTTTAACTTATTCAACTTAAATCCTGCAACTTGACCAAATTCTTGAATCAGTTCTAAAACTCTTTTGGTACTAGATTCTGGCTCCTGTAACGTCAATACTAAGTCATCTGCAAATGCACCAAAAACATACTTTCAACTGGTTCCAAGGAAACTGTATACAGGAGAGCACTGTACTTTTATTCAGCACCCTCTCCTACATTATCACATACATTGAAATAACATAGCTCCCCCCAAAGAATCTTGGGAACTGTGGTTTGCTCATCACATAGCTGCAGTTCTGAGCACCCTTAATAAACTACAGTGCCCAAAATTCTTTAGGGGAAATAATGTGTTTTAATGTGTGGTATGGATGTGTCTGGAAGGAACTTGTAAGGCAGGAAGGGATCAAGAAATCTGTTTCCTTTCTTTCTTTATAGGCATTTAGAACCTTCACCAAACACCAGGATGGGTTACACAAAGCCGAATACAATGTGTAATACACCTACTCTACTAAACCATGAATTAAACTTAATCAACAGCAATTGGAAACAGATTAGCACTTCAATGGGAAGGCTATTCTGATCTCATCCTCCAGTGCCAAAGGTCTTTGCAAAAGGATGTGTCTTCATAGAAGTTCATAGAACTGTAGAGTTGGAAGGGACCCTGAGGATCATCTAGTCCAACCCACTGCAATGCAGGACTATCCAGCTGTCCCATATGGGGATTGAACCTGCAACCTTAATGTTATCAGCACCACACTCCTGATCTGATATTGAAATGTATACCATGATTAGGTCAGAGTCAAACACACCTCTGAGAACCCCAGATATTGCCAAAATACCTGTAGAAGACTGCCTCCTCTGCTCTTTTGTTTATTTATATTTTCTCAAATAAAAGGAAAATCCAAAATTTATGTATTAATGATAACCAGAACTGATGCAAGGTTAATATTCCTTGTGGTGCTTGCCACCACAGCTGAATTTCATGTAAGCTCAGCAGAATCAGACTGCACTGGCAAAGTCACCTTTCATCATCCCTTAAGGCTAAGTTTTTCCTTCTTTGCCTTTCCGGCAGTGCCATTTAGTAAGTAATGTGTAAAGCTTTGTTTCATTGCAAAATCTACTCTTCATATAAAACAAAAAAGCCATTACCAAGTTGATGGAGTTCAGAATACCCTTTGGTTGCACATAGGTTTCAGTGAAGGACGTGTTTCATGTTCTACGTTATACTTTACCAGCTATAAACCTGTCTTAGCGTGTAGAGCATTCATAGAAAACAACAGATCTCTAAGGTCACTGTTGATGAGTAAAGATAATGATCTCTTACAGGGAGAAAACGGGGGGAATGGAGGTCAAAAGGGCAAGCATATCACAAGTGAGAAGAAGAGGTTAACATTTTCAAGTCTTTCATGTCGTTCAGGGGAGATGGAGTAGGTTGCTGTAGGCTGTTCTGAGAAATTGTGATGGTTCGATTCAAAAAGACTATAAAAAAGCAATGGTGTTTCCACTGGCATTGCCTTGAGTAGTTGTAGAGACTTAAATGCTTTAAGTTACTTTGTACCTAAGTATAATAGAAGCACATATACTTTTGATTGCCTTGTTATTACCTACAAAGAAGGGGAGGTGAATATATCATTCATGGTCTAGAAACCTCTAGACGAGATGATCACACTACCGTAAAGTACAGTATATGGGATTGTTCTTACAAAGTGGCCTCTCAACTGTTAGGATTAAAGCAGCAACACTTACAGTAAGTCATCTGAATCTCTGGAGGGGCGACAGACAGAAACGTAACCTATTCTACCTGAAATATCATACAGTGGTACCTCGGGTTACATAAGCTTCAGGTTACAGACTCCACTAACCCAGAAATAGTACCTTGGGTTAAGAACTTTGCTTCAGGATGAGAACAGAAATTGTGCTCCGGTGGCAGCAGGAGGCCCCATTAGCTAAAGTGGTGCTTCAGGTTAAGAACAGTTTCAGGTTAAGAATGGACCTCCAGAACAAATTAAGTACGTGACCAGAGGTACCACTGTATTTCCCTATGTGAACCTACTAGGCCTCAGGTGAGACCATCTCTTGGTCCCACCAATATCAGAAGCACAGCTGGCAGCGACACAAGAGAGAGCTTTCCCTGTGGCTGCTCCCATTTTGTGGAATTCCCTCCCAAGAGAGATTAGATGGGCTCCCTCTTTGTTATCTTTCTGCTTGCGTGCTAAGACCTTCCTATTCAAATAGGCCTTTGGAAACTAAGGTGCAGATGAAGCTGATCACTGGGCTGCTGTCAAATTTAGATTTTAATTGCTGCTTCTAAATATGTTGCAATTTTAATTATTGCTTTTAACTAGTTTGTTTTTATTATTCCGCATTTTATAATTGATGTTTTTAAATGTAATAAACTGCCCTCAATCCAAACTTGGGAGAAAGGCGGGAGATAAACATAAATATATTAAATAAATATTCTTCCTTTGCTGATTCCTTCTTGAGTAACTTCCTGTAGATGGTTTTTTCTCTCAGCCTTTACTTCCTTCCTGCTTCTTCTCCAAGTCAACTAGCATTGGATCTTCATTTTTGTTAACCTCTTGAACTCGTGGCTCCATAATAGCCACATGTAAGCTTGTACTCAGATTGGCTTAGTTTGCAAAGAATATAAACTTTATTCTCACAAGCAACAGTCTTACCAGACCATTTATTTCTGTAATCCCCTGCTATATAGTCTCCAGTACCACAAAGGGAACTCTACCACCTTTCAAGGCAGTCTGTTTCTTGCTTTAACTAACTACTGAAAAGGAAAGATCCTTCCCCTCTTTAGAAATTTTGCTTTCCCACTTTTCTGCACTCTGACACCATCATTTTGTAATTGATGGTTGTTTAACATACTGTGCTTTTCCACTACATTCCATTCAGTAGTCCCCAGGCTACTATTTCTCATGGGAGTACAGCGTGTTTCTGGAATTCTGTTTTAGTCCTCAAAAAGTGATTATTCTTTCAGGCCCGCTGCTGCAGCCATAATTTTAATTTATCAAGGTGCCATACATGAAATGCAGCAGAAACATTTCATGGCTTAAGCTCATCACTTATTCCTATATCTGTCAATGAAAGTCTTCTGTATCTGTCATATCAAACTGCACTACAGCAACATGTAGCACGTAACAAATAAATCATATAATCAATCCTACATTTATACAGTTTGACAAGAGTGCTTCCTTGAATACACGTTGGATGTGGCACAGACTCTGAGGCAGGCAAATGACAGGGCCTAAACATAGAAGCCATTGACAGAGATGTGGGGTCATTTCAAGGCATATGGAGGAGGTGGGCATTCCACAATATACTCCACCCATAATTTTGCGTGTCCTTTCTGGTATATTGTGCAGTTGAACAAAAGGTCTCCAAGACCCATTTCCTAGGCCTTAGAGGACAAGACTCGATCTAATGGTCTTAAATTACAAGAAGATAGATTTCGACTGAACATTAGAAGAACCTTTTGAGGGTAAGAGTAGTTTGACAATGGAACCCTAGAAGGGTGTTGAGCTGTCCATTGCTGGAGATCTTCAGGAGCCTATGACTTTGCAACAGGTCATCTAAATACAATGAAACAGGAAGCTTAGCAGCTAAAGCATGGATGGCATAAGACTTGGGTCCAGACCTGGCCAAACGTGGGTGAGGCCACACCATCGTACCTACCGCATGGCCATAGCTGCAGTGGAAAAAGCTTACTTTTCTGCCACCACTGCATCTGCAAGTAGCCATCTAGCAGAGCTTTTCTGAGTGGTGAATGGGCTTTTGTTAGCTGGCCAAGAGAGTGGTGCTCTGACATTCTCAGAGGCCATCTGTAACAACTTTGCAAGATGCTTTAGGGATAAATTCACTCAGATTCCGACAGAGTCGGACGCCACAGTGATAGCAATTCCCGTGGAGGTGCTAGAGTACTGTCTGTTCCATCTATACTGGATCAGTTTAGATTATTGCAGCCTTAGTGCACAAGCTGCTTGAAGAACTGCAGCTGATCTCTATGGCATCCGCTACATTGTGAAATGCACCTGAAACAGGTTCTGAAACCTACATAGTGTACATAGTGGTAGCTCATTAGGCTAGATTCCTGAAATTCCTGCATGGAGCTCAGTAATACCTTCTATGGTGCATGTGAGTAAAGTCCATCTTACCATAGATAGATGTTTTCTCACTTGAATAAGGATTGTCCCTCCTTAATATAGAAGCATAAAACACTTAAATATTAAAATCTGGGCTAATTGCAGCTCTTCATCATTCAACAAAGCTATAATGTTAGTAACGCTGTGCATATCTGCAAATAAATTAATAGCCTCCATGTCTCTGATCCTCAGAGAGCCCTTTATGTGTGTGCTTAATCATGCACAAAGACTAAAGGATAAGAGACAAATAGGGAGGCTGTAGTTTAGAGATGATAATTATTGTAGTTTATTACCTGGTAACTTTCATTTATTGAAAAGGAGACCAAAAGCATTCTTTTAAAAAGCCCATTAAGGCATTAATGAAGAGTGTAGGAAACAGCTTTTATTGCTCCCAAAATTATTGGACAGTGCTCAGTAGTAAACAAATCAGCTCTTTCCAAAAGAAACGGTTCTGCTGTTTCCACACAGAGGTCAGCTTTATTTCCATATTGGCAAAAGGGCGAAATCCTGTTCTCCTGGCCTGGCCGCCAAATACAACAGAATAAGAGTGTGGCTTATACATGGCACTCCCCATATGAAAAAGAGCTAAATGGAAGAGCCTTTCCAGACAGGTATTTGGTAACAGTTTCATAGCTGTTTTTGCTATATTTTTCTGCATGCTTCCATGTAACACCATTCCTTTCCTTTTCCAAGGTACTGCAGGCATCAGAACACATGTCAGATACTAACTGATTGGATACTTTCTTCAGTCCTTGTTTATGTTCATTTCATCTCTCCTTGGGTGAATGAATGAATGAAATCTTTATTGCTAAAAGCTATAAGCCGTCATAATTGGTCACAATGCATAAAATACAAATAATTAATTTAAAACTAAACAGCAACAACAGCAAAGCAAACATACAGAAATGCAAAAATCACACCTGCATGAGTTCAGCACTCCACTTCTCGCACTCCCCCTTATGATACTTGTCTTGGTGGCTAATTGTCCCCAAGAGTTTGAGAAGAGAGAAATAAGGGGACAGTTGAGTTGCTAAGGAAGATAACCAAGGCTGGAGAAAAAAACAGCAGATTCTCGTGACACCTTAAAGATAAAAAGATAAACATAACGTTTATGCACTAAGCAAAAATGAAAGCAAGAGCTCCACGCTCCTCACAGCCTTGTTGAAGGGGCACAGAGGAGATGGAGTGTGCAAACTTGAAGCTGTCTGCAGCTCATTTGCCTCATATGAAACTCTTGTTTCACATGGCGACTGAATGAGATCATTGGATCCATATCACAGTAATTAGGCTGCAAAACATAATTCTTACTCCTTTTCATCTTTACTGCTTTTCTTCTTATATTTTAGTCATAATACTTCCTCCGTTTCTCCACACTTAGCTTCATTTCACTTTAAACACCTTTTTCATTTTAAAGGGGCCTTCCTACGTCTTTCAACATTCAGTCGCTTAAACTAAAACAAGATTGCCTACAATTATAACTCATTTTCGTGGCATTTGTCTTGCATCTCCTTTCAGAAAAGCTTAGGTCTATTATCATGCTTTCTGGATGATATTATGCTTTTGGGATTCGTTGGGAATACTATGAACAGTTCTGGTCGCCACACCTCCAAGAGGATATTGTTGAGCTGGAAAATGTGCAGATTAATAAAACGATCAGGGGGCCTGAGCAACTCCCCTATGGAGGGAGGTTCCAACATTTTAAGTTTAGAAAAAAAATGAATAAGGGTGGAGGGACATGATAATGTAAAATAATGCATGGTGGGGGGGGATGGATAGAGGAATGTTTTGCCCCTCTCACATAATACTAGAAGCTGATAGGTCGGAGATTTGAGGAGAGACAAAAAGAAATACTTATTCACACAACACATATTTAAACTATGGAATTCTTTAGCATGTTATGTAGTAATGGCCACCTTCCTGGGTGGCATTAAAAAGGAATTAGACAAATTCATAGACAATAAGACTGTCAATGGCTGCTAGTCATGATGTCCAGCATCAGAGGCTGTGTACTTCTGAGTTGTTTAGGAACAAGAGTGGGGGAGTATTGTTGCACTCAAATCCTGCTTCCAGCACTGTGGAAAACAGGATGCTGGACTAACTAGGATGAAAACCTTTTCATCCTATGGCTCACTAACCAAAGATGGATTAGTGAGAGGCCACAAAAATTAAGCACTTGCCTTCTTCAATTGCCTTATAAATTACGACTATTATTACTATCGTTATCATTCTCCAGAGCTGTTATGCTATGTAGGTATAAAGTGGCCAAAATTAGAACTGAGTTAAGTGAGTATCCTGTTTAATTGTCATAGAACCGTTTTAAATTGAATATGTGCATATGTTGTACATTACTTCTGAAAGCACTGAAAAGCGGTAGGTGTGATCCATCTGTACAGTAATAATAGAGGGACAGAAAAATACCTTGGGATCTGGAGGCCACATTTCTGTGTGGAAGTGTGTAATGTGCATGCAAATTGTAACCACCACACATGCTTCCAGTGATGGTCAAATGATAGCTTTTGAGTTCTGCAGAATTCTTATCCCTGAGATTCTTCAGGATTTCCATTGCACCTGGAGTGGGGCAGGGTACAGTGTGATCAAAGCAGAGCTTGATCACCACGGAGCTTTGGCCCTTCCTTATCATCTCGGTCTGCCGCTTGATTTTACTTAATGTGTAGATTAGCTTTGATATTTGATAATAACCTGATATAATGAGACTGAAAATAAAATTCAGTAGCATAAGGCAGACTTGATTCATATCAAGCAAACAAAGGGTGCTGCTGTAACTATAGCAGAACAGTCTTGCTAAGTGTCATCAGAGCTATCCTTATTTATAGAACTGGGATGTCTCCTGGATTTCTTTGAACGTGTTGTGCATTCTTATGATTAATTACATTTTCTTTCCGTTGCTCCTCCAAGGAACTCAGGGTGCTGTACGTGATTTTATTCTCACCAGCAATCCTACAAGGTACATTAAGCAAGAAGAAAGTCATTGGCCCAAGGTCACCCACTGAGCTCCATGGCTGAGTGAGAATTTGAACCCAGCACTTTAACTACTACACCACATTGGCAATTAGATAATAACAACAGGTTTTTTTGTGGGGGTTTTTTTAATCAAATCTAAACCAGTGTTTCCTTTTCACCTTGCAATCCTTGCATTTTTAGTGAGATTGTGATTAGTACAAAGACTGAAATTTCAATATTTCCAAACAATAGTCAATAAAAGTAACAGGGATGAAGCAGTCTCCAGAGATGCAGACCTGAATTAGCACTGTAATTTCAAAATGTTACATAATGCTATTTATCAGATAATTCAGTCATGTCACCTCACATGAATTCATTTGTGTTCTTTTCTGCAGTGGCTATGTCTTTGATTATGACTACTACAGGGATGATTTCTACAATCGGTATGTGCACTCTTATTACTGTATTTGGTTACATATATTATGCTCCTTATTTGACATATTTTCACATAACCAGATCAGAAAACCTTTGCAATTGTTTCCTCATAGGACTCAGCTTGTTTTTATTGCTTGTTTGCATTTCTGGTTTATATTCAGATTACATCATATGAGGATGATAGCTCCATTTTGGGGGTGCTCTGTGCACCATGGCAGGCTTTAGTTTCTGGATTAATCCTGCTCAGGAATCAGTACCTTTGACTGGAGGTACTATTCTGCACATCTCTGATGCCTTTATGTCACTGTGGAGGGAGAGGAGTGGGCCACGGATTGGCATGAAAGGCGTCGTTACCAACAGGATGAGAAGGGAAGGGAGCTGTTGACCAATGGAGCAGATCCGAGGGACTCCAGCTTGCTTTTTGTATAATGGGCTGTGCCTCAGCTGCAGCAGCTAAGACACATTGCTGCTGTTGAAGATGATCCACAGGAACAGGCTGCCCACACTGAGAACAGTGTAAGATGGCATTTATTGATATATTTTCATGTGGCTGTGTTGACGTCCTCACTCCATGGAAAATCCTTTGTGAGACTCAGGCTATATTACGGTATGTTCAAGATGCAGGTCTCGAAGTATTTCTCTGCATCATGACTTAGCTTAGAATCCAGATTGGAAATATATCCGAAATGCAGCAGCTCGCTTTGGTGCTGCTCTGGTTGAACGTCTTCCGCAAGTGTCCGTGCTGTCTGCCATCAAGTCACCCATTAATCTATAGCACGCTGTTGCAATACGAAACCAAGTGGGAAATCTGGAAAACGAAGCCAAGAGCCACGTATTTCACAAAGAATAATATGGCCTTCTGGGGGACAGGAGAATGTCCAACAAACTGGTCAATAACTTAATACCATCCAGGGTAGAATTTAGAGGCCTTTTTCAGATTGGTACTTACGATAACAACATGAGCAGCCCTTTCACCTCTTCAAACTCTCCTCCATTGCAATATATTCAGGAGAGCCAAATGTTCAAGGCACTTCACGACATGATAGCAGATTAATGAGAAATTGGGGCAACCCTCCTTCCTACCTCCTCCTGGACCCAGTGTGGTGTGGTGGTTAAGAGCAGGGGACTCATAATCTGGTGAACCAGGTTCACTTCCCCGCTCCGCCACATGCAGCTGCTGGGTGACCTTGGGCTAGTCACACTTCTCTGAAGTCTCTCAGCCCCACTCACCTCACAGAGTGTTTGTTGTAGAGGAGGAAGGGAAAGGAGATTGTTAGGCGCTATGAGACTCCTTCGGGTAGCGATAAAGCGGGATATCAAATCCAAACTCTTCTTCTTCTTTATCCTTGAAATACATGTCTTGCCTCCTGTTTACTTAAAGCTGCAGTTGTATTAACTATACTGCAGCTAAACATTTTTTGTTCAAATGACCATATATACATACATTCATTCCAACCCTGTTTTTCTCAGAACCAAGTCCCTCCAAGTTCAGTGGGATTCTTTCCTAAGTAAGTGTGTATAGGATTGCAACCTATAGAGGATATTAAAATCAGTTTTAGCTAAAATTGCTCTTTGATTTGAGAGTACCTCAGTTGAAGCTGACAATACTCTTATAAGTTGTTTTTTTTATCTTCCACTAATAAAGCACTGGGACGCGGGTGGCGCTGTGGGTAAAACCTCAGCGCCTAGGACTTGCCGATCGTATGGTCGGCGGTTCGAATCCCCGCAGCGGGGTGCGCTCCCGTCGTTTGGTCCCAGCGCCTGCCAACCTAGCAGTTCGAAAGCACCCCCGGGTGCAAGTAGATAAATAGGGACCGCTTACCAGCGGGAAGGTAAACGGCGTTCCGTGTGCTGCGCTGGCTCGCCAGATGCAGCTTGTCACGCTGGCCACGTGACCCGGAAGTGTCTGCGGACAGCGCTGGCTCCCGGCCTATAGAGTGAGATGAGTGCAGAACCCTAGAGTCTGGCAAGACTGGCCCGTACGGGCAGGGGTACCTTTACCTTTACTAATAAAGCACCAGTGGTGCCAAGTTGAATAAAATAGTGTGGGGGCCCAGGTCAGCCCCACCCCACATAATTGATCACATAATGCAGTGCGCACATTCATCATTTGAAAGGGAATGCTCATCAACTGGGTGGGGGGAGGCTCCCTCAAATATTTTATTGTGGGGGCCGAAGCCCCAACGGCCCCTAGGAATTGGCTTCAATGTGAAATGCTATGTCATTTCTAGGTATAAGCAAATTTCAGTGTTTTTCTCCTATCAAAAGTACCTCAGACAGACTTGCCTGTAGGGATGGGAGAGAAACTCAATTTAGTTCACATTTAAAAGTGAATCTACCTAGAATGCGCTTTCTGAAACAATACACAAACCAAAGCACAGCGACCCTTCAAAATTTTTAATTTCAGTATTCATGCTATTGGAGATGGGTGCATACGTCAGTTTCAGTTCCTTCTATTTTCTCATTGTTCCAATCTGAAATTGTGTTCTCTACATTTCCATATCAGTTTGTGATTTATTTTTCTTTAAAGATGTGCTCTCAAAAATTAATCAGCATTTTAATTCAGATGTTTCATAATATACACATGCAATATTGCATGTAATTTTGCATGTTATTTTTCCCTAATAGAATGCATTTTGGGTGCTATTTTCAATAATATAGGCTTTTAAGTGCACTCTTTACCATAGTGTATGCATTCTTTTACACATCACTTGACTGGAAAAGTGATTTGCTAAATTTGGAGAAGTGCTAATTTCTTTGATGAGATGTTTCAGTTTAGTCACATTTCATTTCAATGATATTCACCATCTTAAATTTCACTATGAGCATTACTGTGAAGGCAGCAAATTACAAAGTTGAAACTATGAATTTAGAGCTAGGCTGTCAGCAGAGCTACAGTGTGTGTGTTTATTTTTTTTTAAATCTCATATTATTACTCGGGTGAAATGAAATTATGAGGTGCACGTTTTTCTTACTCCAAGTTAAGACAAACTAATAATGGTATCCTTCTCTGAAATTACAGCTACTTACTTGGTCATGTCTGAAATACAAATATGCTTCTTAAAAGTACAAAGGTCCTTGAAATCTAATTTTAACCGTGATGCAAGTCATTGATATTTCAGAGAGCAATTTTCCATTAGAAAGTAGGGAAATTTAGTCTGCATGATCTCCCTGCCATCACACCATAACCAAGTGCTATGAAGCTTCTGTTTCCATTCCCTTAAGGTTGTTTGATTACCACAGCCGGGTCCCTGCACCGCCTCGTGCTGTAATTCCATTAAAACGCCCCCGTGTAACCGTCACAGCAACTCGCAGAGGAAAAGGGGTATTTTCCATGAAAGGGGGATCAAGATCTACATCAAGTGGAACTTCATCATCAGGGTCAAAATGTGAGTTCTATAATGCACCGTCGAGGTTGCCTGTATGAATATTATTATGTGGTGTTTGCCCTCCTAGGTGACATCATGCTGGGTCATAAGGAAAGGGTTAAATGAGTGTGAAGTGATTGGCAAGTGGGAACCCAAGGGGAGGAGTTAGAGTAAGTGTTGTTAAGGAGTCAGTCGGGTGTTAGAGAAGAGAGGGAGGATAAGTCTGTGGGTTGGGATAGGTTGATGTGAGAGACTGAGAGAAATCTGTTAAGAGGAGTCAGATAGACAGTTAGGATAATCAGTTAGAAGTTATTAGGAAGGTATAGGCCGGTAAAGAAACTAAGATTAAGAAACTGACAAGAAAAATTATCTGAAACCATAAACTTGTTAAGGCTTATAAAATAAACTTGTTTATTTGGTTTAATGTTAACAACTGTCTGGACTCCGTGTGTACCGGAGAGAAATGGGTTGGTGGCAGCGGGGAAGCATTCACAGTGGTGGCACAGGGATCAATAGGCCGTCAAACATCCGGGGATCCTGTGTGATCGCCACATATGCTTAATGCAATATATGTGGAATTCTAAGGTCATCCCATTGCTAAAGCTTTAAACATTGGTTATCATGCTGAGAGCGAAAAGTTGTTTTCATTGTAATGGTTTAGTGAGAAGGGATGCATTCACTTAATTTTTTAAAAAAGAAAGATCAAAGCTCATTGCATGATAACCAACTAAGTCAGGCATAGGCAAACTCGGCCCTACAACTCCCATCACCCCTAGCTAACAGGACCAGTGGTCAGGGATGATGGGAGTTGTAGTCCCAAAACATCTGGAGGACCGAGTTTGCCTATGCCTGAACTAAGTCATATTCAGTGTAGACTCATTGATTTCTGTGAGTCTACTCTAACATTGGTTATCACCCTTTGGCAAAGTTGGATTTGCTGTTCCATAGTGGCAGGAGCCATGCTGTGGACTCATTGATTTCAGTGGGTCTACTTCACACAGTGGTGGAGCACAAATACCCTCCATGTCATGATAACTGTCCACAGTAACTGCCTGGGACAGCAGGTCTCCGTTATAATAGCCAGGATGTGTGCTGTTTACATCTCTAAACAGTGGGATCTTGAACTGCATCTGGCACCCCAAAGGACTGCAAGGCAACCATCCAAGAACAGAAAGCTGTTGTTGTGCTGCTGAAGCAGTATAAATAGTCTATGAAGTGCAGAGCACTGCTGAAAGCCTGTATAAGTTATTCCCTTGGGGTGCCCCACAGCTCTCCCTAGCACAGTGTGTCCTTTCTGGAGTTCCTGTCTTGTGTCTGAAGAATGTAAGAACCTCTTCACAAATGAAGAAGCTGCAGACTGGTTGAGGCAGACATAATTCCCCTGTCTTGACAAAGCCTTAAATCAGCTGTGCTGATTTCTCCCCTGCTGTGTCAGTGACTGAAAACTGGGAGCACATCCCTGACAGGTTCTTCCCAGGGCATTAATTCTCTTGCATACTAGTAGGGCAATGAATGTTGTTAATGTTGACATTAAAAAAAACCCCTCTTTCACACTGAATGTACATTTTCACTAACGTGGGTTTTATATTTGTATGCGAGGGTGGCTAGGCAAAAGGCGAAACCTTATTTAAGCCTCGTGTGTGTACATGTCCTGAGGCTGAAGACTGATTCATAAATTAAGACCCCGTTCATAAATTGCATAGTCAGTCGCTCCTTTCCTTTCCCACTGTACAATGGAAAGTGTGCCTGGGCAGATTTCCCCCCTGCAGTGGGGTCTTCAATCTTTAGAATCATTAGATCTCACAGTGGGTAACATTTCTAAGTCCAACAGTTCCCTGCTGGGTCAAGCCCATCGCTCATGCAGCCCAGCATCTGTTCTCACAGTTGCCAACCTGATGCCCACAGGCAGGAGCCAGGTACAAGGTCACTCTCCCCTCCTGAAGTTTTCAGCAAGTGGTATTCAAAATCCCTGTGCCAGGCCTGCTTTTTTACACAAGAGGAGCAAGATTGCATTCTAGGTCCTATATGGATTTGTGTGTAGCTGCAAAGGTTTTGGAGGGTGGTCTGTTTCTAAAAGTAGCAAATTATCCACTAGAAGTAGAGTGAGGACCTCAATGTTGTTATCAAGCTTGAGGGGTTTGCATATTGTTTTGACTCTGATTAATTTCTGACCTTTTTAAAAAAAAAATCCAGTAAAAATATAAATTTCATGTAGCATACTTTTTGTTAAAAAATCAGCCAAGTGACAACTTATTTGTCATTTTCCATCAAAAGCAACAGCAGATGAATGCTGCTATATTGATGTTCCATGGCACACTTTGCTTTCTGCAAGTAAAATTGAAGCAGATGCTCCTATATTTATGTGAAATTGCAAAGGAAGAAAATATTAAACAGTTTTCTCATTATTTTGTTTATGGATCTGGAGGAACTATCTGGGAGCAAAGCGTTTGTTTTTTTTTCATAAATCAGTTGTGACTTCATGACTGTTAGCCAGTTTTTACATGATGGTGTGAGACAAACAGTTTGATATGGTATTAGATCAATGAAATATATAGCATGTCTACCAAAATAAGCCTGGGGAGTCAGACAATTTTGTAGTTATGATAAATGGGAGCAGTTTTCATGAATATTTTCACATCAGAAAGCAAACTCACCCCCACCCCCCTCATTCCAGTGAATCTTCAGGCATTGCATCAAAAGTGGAAGATAGTTTGCCCTCATTCTGAATAACTTTACCTTCAGAAATGTCACCACAAACCCGAATATCTTTGGCTGTATAGTGGCATACATGAGATAGCACGCGTGACTATTCACAGAAAGAATGAGACCAAATGACTAGTGAATAGACCTTGTTCAATGAATGCAACTACCACAGTGCAACTTCATTCTCTAATCTAGGCTGAATGAAATAAGCCAGGGGTCAGCAAACTTTTTCAGCAGCGGGCCGGTCCACTGTCCCTCAGACCTTGTGGAGGGCCAGACTATATTTTGAGGGGGGGGGATGAACGAATTCCTATGCCCCACAAATAACTCAGAGATGCATTTTAAATAAAAGAACACATTCTACTCATGTAAAAACAAACTGATTCCTGGACCGTCCGTGGGCCAGATTGAGAAGGCAATTGGGCCAGATCCAGCCCCCGGGCCTTAGTTTCCCTACCCATGAAATAAGCCATGTAGATTTTGTACCAGGGGTGGCCTGAGATGTTTCAGCGACTGTGGCACAAACTCCTTAAGGATACTACCCCACCAGGAGAGGGCAGATCTGTTCCAGATCCCCCTCCTCCCACCCAGCAGTGGGGCTTCACAGAAGCTGGTGCAAAGCTCTGTCACACTGCCAGGAGGGGAGGGAGATTTCCCCCCTGCCTAGCGGCAAAGCTGGATGGCAGAACGCCTCCCCTCTTGCTGACTTGGTCAGGAGAGGAGGCATTTTGCAGAGCTTTGCCGCCAGTCCCTGTCTGACGTTAGAGGCTGGAAAAAGCAGTGGCAAAGCTGGGTGGTGGAAGAAGATGCCACCCCTTGAATGGGTCTCACCTGAGGCGGCTGCCTCACCTAGCCTCATAGGTGGTCCAACTCTGTTTTATACTGTACAGTGGTACCTCGGGCTATAGACACTTCAGGTTACAGACTCCGCTAACCCAAAAATAGTACCTCGGGTTAAGAACTTTGCTTCAGGATGAGAACAGACATCGTGCAGCGGCAGCGGGAGGCCCCATTAGCTAAGAACAGGTTAAGAACAGTTTCAGGTTAAGAACGGACCTCCAGAATGAATTAAGTTCTTAACCCAAGGTACCAATGTACTTGCATGGAAAATTCCAAACACTTTGCAAAGGACATATGAGTCCTAAATGTGTCTTTTATCTACATGGATGAACATAGAAATAGTGTCATTTGGGGGGAAGGGCTGAGAGGGAATATACTAACGTTCTAACTTACCCTTCGCTGAAGAAATATGAAAACATAGAAATAAAAATCTATAAGGCTATACCTTGAACTTCGGTTTTCGCCTTTATGAATAGATTGTACTGGGATACCTTTGTGTTGAAATATTATTTGTGTCATAGTTGGTACCTTTTTGTTCTTTTTCTCTTCAGTGAAATCAGATGAGTTACAAACAATCAAGAAGGAATTAACTCAGATCAAAACAAAAATCGACTCTTTGCTAGGGAGGCTGGAGAAGATTGAGAAGCAGCAGAAGGCTGAAGCTGGTACGTGGAAATAATCTGTAGCTCTTGGCAGCTCATTAAAGGGTGAATTAATTCTGTGCAAAGCTGTGAATCATATCATCAGTTCTATGAGAGAGGCAATTTTGGAAATACTGATGTGCTCACATTTAGGACCAGAAAGAGGCTTTTTGAGTACAACCTTATAAGCCACTGAGCAACTAACAACTGTTTAAAGACCAGGTTTAGCTATTCTCTTGGCTGCATCCATACACCACTTTACCGGGGAGTAATCCCCACTGAATTCCATGACACTATTTCAGAGTAGAGAGGCCAATCTTACAGGTCAATCATGCATATGAGTGCGCAGTCATTTCTTCATCTCCCCTCTGCTTTCAGAAGGTTTGAGGTTGAATCCCAGGTATTTTCAATTAAGAGGATAATAAATAATAATAATAATAATAATAATAATAAAATTTATTTATACCCCACCCTCCCCAGCCAAGGCCAGGCTCAGGACGGCTAACAACCAATAATAAAAACAAGTTGATTGAAATTCAACTTAAAAAACAAGGTTAAATACAACATTAAAACATTAAAATGCAGCCTCATCACAGGAGGAGAAAGGAAAAAAGAAAGAGGAGGAGGGAATCAACTTGGCTCCAAGCCAAAGGCCAGGCGGAACAACTCTGTCTTACAGGCCCTGCAGAAAGAAATCAGATCCTGCAGGGCCCTGGTCTCATGAGACAGAGCGTTCCACCAGGCTGGAGCCAGTGTTGAAAAGGCCCTGGCTCTGGTTGAGGCTAATCTAACTTCCTTAGGGTCCGGGACCTCTAGGGTGTTGCTATTTATGGACCTTAAGGTCCTCCGTGGGACATACCGGGAGAGACGGTCCCATAGGTACGAGGGTCCTAGCTGGCATTGGGAAAGATCACTGCAAAGGACTTGGGAGAGCCACAAGCAGGTAGAGTAGACAATGATGAATTAAATATTCCAATAATTGACAAATATTCCACCCTATGAAAAAAAGAGGCTGCAAACTGTTTTCTCCTTGACAGGGTGCAATTCTGCAAATATTTACAAGAGTATAGCGGTTTGTTTTTAAATTTTCTTAACCCCTCTTCATGCAAAAATAGATTTCAGTTTGGTATATAAAGAAATGAAAATTTACAGAAACCTTGATCTCTCCACTACTTAGTGCCACTAAAGAAGGCCTCCATTGGCCCTCTGGTCAGGCCACGGCCACTACTAGAAAGGATGAGCACTTAAGCTATGCTGCTAAACACCTTAGGGAGAGCTTCTTCCCTGCTTCATGCCAGTGATGATCCAGTTCCAATGAGAGGCACAAATACAAGATGGGTGACACCTGGCTTGAGAGCAGTACATGTGAAAAGGATCTAGGAGTCTTGGTTGACCACAAACTTGACATGAGCCAACAGTGTGACGCGGCAGCTAAAAAAGCCAATGCAATTCTGGGCTGCATCAATAGGAGTATAGCATCTAGATCAAGGGAAGTAATAGTGCCACTGTATTCTGCTCTGGTCAGACCTCACCTGGAATACTGTGTCCAGTTCTGGGCACCACAATTCAAGAATGACACTGACAAACTGGAACGTGTCCAGAGGAGGGCAACCAAAATGGTCAAAGGCCTGGAAACGATGCCTTATGAGGAACGGCTAAGGGAGCTGGGCATGTTTAGCCTGGAGAAGAGGAGGTTAAGGGATGATATGATAGCCATGTTCAAATATATAAAAGGATGTCACATAGAGGAGGGAGAAAGGTTGTTTTCTGCTGCTCCAGAGAAGCAGACACGGAGCAATGGATCCAAACTACAAGAAAGAAGATTCCACCTAAACATTAGGAAGAACTTCCTGACAGTAAGAGCTGTTTGACAGTGGAATTTGCTGCCAAGGAGTGTGGTGGAGTCTCCTTCTTTGGAGGTCTTTAAGCAGAGGCTTGACAACCATATGTCAGGAGTGCTCTGATGGTGTTTCCTGCTTGGCAGGGGGTTGGACTCGATGGCCCTTGTGGTCTCTTCCAACTCTATGATTCTATGATTCTATGATCTCATTACCACTGTGAGCAGAAAGGGGAAAGAGGGAGAAGGGAAGGGCAGTAGAGCTTAAGAGCATTGATTCAGCCTCACCCCATCATTCTGCATGCCAGGTGCCTTGACATCATACACCACGCTGCTGCCTCTTCTGATGCCCGGGTCACAAAAGCACCTTGCACTCAGAATATGCCATTTGGAGGGCCACAGGTTCCCCATCTCTGGACTTGCTCTGCATAATTGCTGTAGATTAAAATAAAAACCTAGAATGTTCATTGCAAGGGACTCTGATTAGTGGTGAATTCGGAAATGTATGTGTCCTTTCACAGTGCAATGGAAAAACTATTAGTTGCATACCCTCTGACATGTCACAGGCATCTTCTGTGCCATGTTCCCACGTGAGTCACATGACCCACACAAGAGCACGGCACCCGAAAACAGGATGTCCCAATTTAATTGGGACAGTAGAGGGGCATGTTATTACACAAAAACATTAACACAAATTATGCACATGTTGGTATTTTAAACATCGTTAACATCAAAACACTGCAAAATAAAGCACTTTCCTTCTGGGATGGCAAATCCCATGAAGGAGGAGTCAGCAGAAAAGCTATTAATATGCAAAAAAGCCTTCATGAGAGCAAAAAAAAATTATGGGTTTTTTTGTGGAAAAGGCTTGTGAATTCATTTAAATACAAATCAGATCTTAGACTGTCATTCTGCACTGACTCATAGACAGCAGAATATAAAAAGATAGCTCAGAGCATGTTAATCGTGACTGAACTGACAGGTGAGCATACTTCTTCTTCTTCTTCTTCTTCTTCTTCTTCTTCTTATTATTATTATTATTTATCAATATTAATTCATTAATCACCTTCTACATAGTCGCCTCAGGGCAATGTACAAAAAAACCCAAAAAAACCCAACCTAGATCCTTTTCAATACTGATTATGCTACATGATTGGGTGGGAATTTGAACCCTGACCAGAGTGACTCTTTTGTGGGTTCTGGGTACAAGAGAGGGAGAGGGAGAGATAATCTATCTATTCTGTATCATGACATTTAAATTCATAGATGGTATAATGCAACCGTAGTACTTTTGGGTACCAGTGATTTAAATCATGTGCTGACTTTGTCTTCAAAATCAGTGGGATTTAATCCTGCTTAAATGGCTTGATTGTGAACCGATATGTTTGATATGTTTCTGCGAGTTGCAACTGATAAAATATAAGAATACCAAATCCTTTTTATCTGCTAAAGGCTTCCTTCTGGTCCTCCCTGAACAAAAACAATCAGCTGCATTGCAAAGGAGAACGACTTGAAAAGTGGCAGATTTTTAAGTGGCAGATATTTCAAACAATCTATTATAATAGGCAGAATATACAGCATGAGCTGCTTTCATCCAACAGTGGGAAGCTTAAAAAAACATAGAAATGAAAAACAGGGGAAGTTTTAATGATTTTTTTATACACTATACTAAGGTCTGTCTCGCTTATCTTTATGGAAGTTATAAAGGGACAGAAAAGTAATGTGTTTATACTCAGATGTCTTATTTTGCTAATTAATTCTGTGTTTTAAAGCTGGCAAGCTTAACATAAGTCAACAGTGTGATGCAACAGCAAAAAAGCTAATGCTATTTTAGTCTGCATCAACAGAAGAGTAGTATCCAGATCAAGGGAAGAAATAGTACTGCTCTTTTCTGCTTTGGTCAGACCACACCTGGGCTACTGTGTCCAGTTCTGGGCACCACAAATTAAGGATATTGACAAGCTGGACCATGTTTAGAGGATGACCAAGATGATCAAGGGTCTGGAAACCAAACCTTAGGAGGAGCAGTTGAAGGATCTAGATATGTTTAGCCTACAAAAGAGGAGATTGAAAAGAGATACGATAGCCATCTTCAGATATCTCAAGGACTATCACATGGGTGATGGAGCAAGGTTGTTTTCTCCAGCTCTGGAGGCTAGGACCCAAACCAATAGCTTCAATTTACAAGAAAGGAGATTCTGACTAACCATCAGGAAGAGCTTTCTGACAGTATGAGCTGTTTGAGAGCAGAGAAGATTCCCACGAGAGGTGGTAGACTCTCCTTGCTTGGAGGTTTTTAAGCAGAGGTTGGATGGCCATCTGTCATGGATGCTTTAGTTGAGATACCCACATCGCAGGAAGTTGGACTAGATGACCCTAGGGATCCCTGTCAAGTCTACAATTCTATGATTCTATGTGGCAATGACTGAGGAAAAATATCAGAAGCAGTATGCATGTGAATACCAGTTTCTGGGGATCCCAACCAATTGAGTATTACTGCATTTGTGCCATGCTTATGAGCTTCCCAATGACATATGAGAATATTGTGAGAATAAAGGATTGGACTAGCTAGGCCTTTGGTCTGGTCCAGCAGGCTTCTCTTCTATGGTCCCTCGTTACATTTTCACATGCATCACTGCAACCATGACAGTATGAAATTTACTTTTAGAAAGATAGCTCAAATGCTCAGGAGACCAGTATCACTTTCATAAGCGTGTAATCTTAGCCATAAATATGAGTCTGAAACTAACCCTCCAACTTGCTCTCCTCTTCCAACTTCATCAATCGAAAAGCATCGTTTTAAACTCGGGGGAATTTCAGAAATAGTTTGTGATGGTGCACAGGGAACTTGTGTTCAAAGGCAAATATCCCGCTGGGCATGTATCAGCCTCTTAGCAAGCCAAAAGAAGATCTCTGAACCTGGGTAATATATCTGGTATCATTTGGGGATTCAGAGAATGTATTCTGCTGTCTATAACACAGTTCCATTTCTGGAAAAGGGGATCTTACTTAAGCTACATTTTTCGCCTTTTTCTTATAGAAACCCAAAAGAAACAAATAGAAGACTGTGCAGACTTGATCCAAGAGGAATGTATATCAGAGAACGCTGACAATTCCACAGAGGATCCTATAGAAGGAGGTTTAGATGCAGATGGAGATGGCGAAGATATGACTGATGGGATAGAGGAGGATTTTGACGAGGATGGAAGTAACGAGCTGGTAAGAAATTTTAAATAGTTGTATATGTAAGCTGAAAATTTCAAGAATGAATGTAGAAGAACAGCAAAACAAATGCTATTAAAAGCTGAGATGCTGTTTAGAGGTCCTTTGAAAAACTCTTAAGATGGTTATAATGGCAGGCAATGTTAGTTCTTTACATGAATTCCCATCTGTGATGTGGTGAGATACTTTTGGGTGGAGCAGTTTAAAGGGCACACAGTTCTTGAAGGCTATCAACCGAAAAACATAAAACATACCCTCTGCCAGTTTCATAATCACATTTACCAGTAGTAAACAGTTCTGGAGGGTCTCTGTAGAACTCACCTTTGACTAATATGCTTAGGATAACAGCATTTCTCTTTGATTCACAGCCCAGCTGGAAGGTGGACCAATTTAGTTTTCGCTGAAAAGAATGGGATGAAATAAATTTATGGAGCTTGATCTTAACGTACGTTTACTCTTAAGTCTCCCTGCATTCCTTGAGGCTAACTCTCAAGGAAGCACGCGGCCTCTCAAGCTGGGAGGATGCAACCTAATTCTCACTTGCTTTGTGGCGAGATCATTCTGCATGATAAAATACAGCACACTTCTCTCTCAGAGCTGTAATTGCACTAGCACTAGTCCAGCTTCAATGGCATGATGTTCCATCTCCATGTAACGGAAAGGGATAGAAATAACCTTTCTGTGAGGATGACAGCCTCTTCTTTTAAAAAGCAGCAGCAACAGTAATAGATCTACTCTGCTCTATTAAAGCGAGGAAGGCATAGCCTGGAAAGAACTCTCTTTTTTAAATATTTAATTTGAAGGACAAGCCTTGATTGTTCTTTCCTGTTTGGGATGGAAAACACAAGCAAGGCTATGTATTTTTTCATCATTGTTTCATGGACTCCTTTAATTTTTTAACCCAAAAGGAAGTTATTTTGGGGGTGTGCACCTTGCCTCTCCAGCTCAGCCACACGGAAGCAGTTTTCAGCAGCAAGCCTGTCCTCCCTGCAGCAAGGTTACTTCCATCCCTTTTTATAATGTGTGGACAAAATCCTGCTCTTGACATTTCAATGGGGTTTTTTGGAGAAACTTTAGGTCTGCAGCAGAAAGAGACCTATTTCCAGCCTGAGGCAAAGCTGTATTCCCACCAGGTAGGGGTGGGAGGGACTCTCAGTTTTTATTCTCTCAGTTTCTCCTTTTTACAATCTTTAATTGTATTCTTCACATTTCTGTAGCAATTCGCAATTTTAGAGTTAATTTCTCCTAATAAACATATTTTTAATGCAGTTTTTAATAATACACATGTTTTGCAAGCAATTTTCCCGAATATGTTTCGTGTTTTTATCTTGTATTTTTATGCTGTGAACCGCCCTGTGATCTTCGGATGAAGGGCAGTATACATACTTAATTAATATAACAAATATGATACAGTGCATTACTGTGTGCTATTTTCATAAATATATGTCTATATGCATTTCCCTGTATATATTCATTTTTGTAAACATTGGTTGGAGAACTACACTGCAAAGTTCGGATAAGTGTGAATTTTGTAGGGTGCCTGTGTTTTCTTTTTCATATTGCTTCAGAAAGTATGGATTTGATAGATTTGGCTTTAAAAGCAAACTGAATTGAATTCCTTCCCCTCCCATCCCATCCCTACCTGTAGGGTATAATAATAATAATAATTTATTATTTATACCCCGCCCATCTGGCTGGGTTTCCCCAGCCACTCTGGGCGGCTTCCAACTGAATATTAAAAACAATACAGTATATTCAATCCTTGGAGCGCCTATAGGGTGGTGATGGAAAATAGACCCACTCAGGACCATAGTTCAGTAGTTCAGGATCTGCTTTGCTGATCAAAGTGGCTGGGGCTATCCAGTCAGATGGATGGGGCACAAATAATATGATTATGATGACGCAGAAAGCCCTAAATTCAATCCCTGGCAGCTTGGACTGGGAAATAATTCTGTCGGAAAACCAATAGCTGGACTTTTCCTGTTCTTCCAGTCAATGCAGTGGAATCTTTTAAAGGACATTTAGTTTAACGGACATTCTTTGCATGTTCCGTGAATGCACAGAATGTTTGTGATCAACTCCTAGCTTGCTAGTAGCTTACTCCACACAGATTGCACCATATTGTAGGCACAAGCTCTGAAACTTGTTGGAAGACATAGTGTGTCTCATGTGGCGGCTTCAGAGCCAGCTTTTAGCACCCAGTACCCATGTGTCCTAGCAGGACCCACCACTGATGCCTGGCCTTGGCCCTGCTTTGAAAAATGCTTCCAGCCTGACACCCTGAGCAGCAGCAGGTGGCTGGATCTAGCTGCCATTTTCATTTCCACCGTATGTCTAACATAGCATTTATCAGGGCTGTGTGAGAAATTAATTTGATTGCTAAAACCTGCCACCTGGTATGGCTTGGAGTGCTGCTGCCTACCACTGCTAGAGAAGCCCACCAGGGTCCCAGTGACTGAGGCAGACCACCAAAGAGAACTTCCCTCCAGGCCCCTCAGTGGCAAAGCTGTCAAACTCTGGTAAAGGAATTCAGAGCACAGTTTGCCAGCCAAGCATCTGCAGACACGAGTGCCAACAGTATGAAGGATATCAATAGAATTCCCCTCAGAAATTCACAATGCAGAAGATGGGGAGCCATGCCTGCACTATTTTGTATTTCTGTCCCCTTTTCTCCTGTTTCAGATGTGGTAGCCATTTTGTGTTGTGCCACACATCCCATGGCAGCCATTTTGTGACTGCTACCCATATAGCTGTCTCAGTCCTGTCCTACAATGAAATGAACCAAAAGAAGCTGGAATTCAAGGGCTTGTCTCCTTATGTGAGAAAGTGAAGTCTGAATAGTACATATGCTGTGTGAACAAAGCATATAAATTTAGGATGGTGGTAGTTCCTAAATTATAGGTATTTTAGCCCTGCTGTTCAAAAGGAAAACTTTACAGTAGACACAATAGCTGAAAGTTGTTGCTTGCAATGAGATCTCTTCAAGTTGTAACAAAGGCAGCGCTCCTAACAGTTTATTGATTTAGAAACTGATTTCAATCCCATTCATCATCCTTTCCCGTTATTTCTGCGAAATAGATAGTGCCTTTCAGCTGTCAGTGTGTGTCATCTTGAATCATAGCAAATAATTATTGTCCTCTATTAAAAACAAAATGATATCTGATAAATTACTTGGCAGCATCGGGGTACTTTCGATCCCAGAAAAGAAAAGATATTTCTAATGAAGAGGAAAGTGAAATAGATAACGTACACAATGACATTACACTTGACAGTTACAAGATATCACTGTATGAGCAAAAGAAAAGAAATAAGATGTTTTCTGAAGAATATATTATAAATCAGGATCTTCCTAACAGAAATCATGGTACTTTGGATAAGATGTGAGTTTGTCCAGATGTTTCAGGTGTAATACTTTGTATATTTCTTTAGGTATTGTATGTTGTACATTCTAGTCACCCATGCCACATTACCAACCCCTGTAGATGGTGCCTACTGAAATGGAGTGAAAGCACAAAAACATTCAAGAGCCAGTCTGTGCAGACTGGGCGAGCTATGTTTTAAGAAGGGAAAACCTGATTCTTGGAAAAACTCTCACATCAGGGGGAAAGTTTTTAACTAGAAGTTTTTTTTAAAAAGTTTGGGCTGGTTTTTTTTTAATTGGGAAAATATTGTAACATGTAATCCTCCCTGCCAGGACACTCTGAAGTGATACAATCCCAGTGGAGCTCCATTGCATAATTATTCTAAATTTGTAGGCTGGCTCTGGCTCAAGTTTCTCACCTGTATTTCAGATTTACTGTTGCAACCAATTAATTTTTTGCTGAGGGTTTGCAATATCTCCTTTGCAGCACTAAGGGAAGATACACTGGGCTTATGTTTTATGTGCTCCAATTACTTTGGGTCCAACTTACTTACTTATATATTTTAACTTTTTGAGAGATTCTTTAAAAAAAAAAAAATGCACTCATTGAAAAACGTCACCATTCAATTGTGGCCTGAATTTCTCTTCACTTCCAAGATGTTTTCCTTAGACATAACTGACTCTCAATAACCATGACTAAAGGAAAAACTTGCAAAAGTTGGAACACGATTCAATGCCAAATGGTTCAAATAAATGGTTCACCAATGCTGTGCCTTTTCCTCCTTTGCTTTTATCTTTTAAATTTAAACCCAGTCCTCACTCAGGGACTTTACTACCTCAGTTTACTTCCAAATGCATGCAGAAGACCCCAAGTTTATTCTCCAGCATCTTCAGAGAAGGCTAGAAATTTCCCCTGCCCGAAACCCTGGAGAGCCCCTGCCAGTTGTGTAGGCATTACTGGGCTAGATGAACCAATGGTCTGACTTGGTATAAGGCAGCTTCCTATATTCCTAACTGTTTCTACATTAGCTTAAGCTGAAGGTTATTTGGGTAAAGCACACTGAGTCACTTAAGTCTACAGCTCAGCTTCCCATCCCTGCAGATACTATTCCCACCACTGGCTTTCCTCTTTCTCCACTTGCGCAGCAAAGTTTCTTCATCTTTCATAGCAGATCAGCTATTAGTTGCAAAACTAGGTAAAAACCCAGGGACCTTTGAACATTGTTGCATCTCTTTGCCAACAGTATCATAGGCATCCATTTTTCCATTCTTCAAATAGCAGCATAGTTCAATTTTTTTGAACTTGGACCTTCTGTTTTCAACTTCCCAATCCAACAATAATTTGTCCAAAATATGAATGAATTGAGGTTCTTGTGCATATTTGTATATGCTCTGCTGCATGCAAAGATTTGCCACTAGCATTAGGTGCAGAAGAGAACAAGACAGCTTCAAACCGTTTGTTAAACTAGATTCAGGCTGCAATCCTATACACACTTACCTGGGGTGAAGTCCCATTGAACTTAGGGGAACTTACTTCTGAGTATTGCATGCAGAAGTTCCCAGAATTCAACACCTGGCAGCTCTGATATTTCAGACAGGTGGCTTTCCAAGCTCTACCTGAAGATGCTAGATGTTGAATTCTGCAATACATGGGCTCTACCACTAAGCTACAGCCCTTGCAGTAAGCTCACTTTGTCCTTCCACTTGGAGCTCTCCAAGGTCCTGCAACTCCAGCATTACCTAGACTCAATCACCTTCAGGCAACTTGGTATCCGCCAAATCCAGTTAGCTTTGGCAATTGAACTATGTGATAGGCCCTCAGCGTATTCTTTGAGGCACAGATGAACTGAGTCCTGATTATTGGTTGCTAGCTTCTTCTCTACAAACCTTCTATGAATTCTTATTCCTTATGGCTTCCAGAAAGCAGGCAAGTGACTGGCATATCTTCTTAACTTAAACATCCCACTTCAGAAAGTCCTGAACCAGAATCTAGGACAGCCTATCCCTGTCAGATCCCTTGAAATTCAGTAATCTCTGATACAACCTCCAGTTCTTTCTACATTTTTAATATTTGGTTAAGGGACTTAATATATTTTCAGGATACAGTAACTGTTGGCTTGCTATGGTTGGCTTCTTTCATTTTCAGTAATGAACATCTGGTCATCATTTTCTGGCACCTCTCCATTATGGAAATATTGCATGTTTCATCGGTGTCCAGATGAATGGAATTCTGCTACAATTTATAACCTCAAAGTAAAAAGGCGAGCTGAGAAAAGAAAGAGGAAAAAATGAGACTGATGTAGAAGAGTTTGTGAAATGAAAGAGGCAGTAAGAGAATAATAAGGAACTGAGTGGATATATCCAAGTATCACCTGATTCTGATAGTTTAAGCATTAAATAAGCTTAAGCTATCATTTCAATTTGCACTTCATTTTTCTGGGGGGGAAAAGCATCACTAAGAGCAAAATTGAAAATGTACAGGCAAATCATTATTGATGGGAAGAAATCGTAAAAATTAAAATACGCAGTTGAGAACAGGTCCAGCTTTTCTATTGTTCTTTTCCAAATGTGTTAGTAATCCTTCCTTGACCTTTCACACCAGTGACTTTCAAGTCCATCTTCTTGTCACTTCCCTTATGCAAACTTAAAGCAGAAAACCTGTTCCTTCTCCTCTGTACACGTGTGACCTACTTTAAAACAGCTTCGAGTCTCCAGTTTCAGTATTTTTCCCCTCGTGGCTCTCACAAATTTCCCCCTCTATTCCTTTCCCCAAACAACATGCACACTACCTACCTACTTCTTCTGCCTTATCAATCTTGAGTTGCCATACGTGATACCTCTCAAACACAAAGGGGTTGTATTCACCTAAATCCTACTCAGAGTAGACCTGTTAAAAGTTAGCCATATCAGTTAATGTCAATGGGTCACTCTCAATAGAATTAGCATTGAATCCCCCCCTCCCCAGGCTTCTCTAGTTTTCAGCAAGTTTGCCTGTTAAACACAACTCAACACAACTGACTTAAAGGGATCCATTTTACAGTGCCGTCAATAGAGTATGCAGTGCACTTTCAGTTTTGACTGCTGGTAGCTCACAGAGGAAATAAGACAACTCTTAGCACTATATGGTATTATTGTTTGGGTGTTTGTGGGCTTAAGGGTAAAGGACAGACATATGCAGCTGAAGTTTTCTCTTTCTCTTGTGGTTTTTTTTTTGGGGGGGTGAACATAACACTTCTCCAAAAAATCTGCTTAATTGATGAAATGTTGGGCATTGGGTGTGTTGAGAGTGTGCATTTCATGGCTTTAAGTGACAAGGACAAATTATTGGCAGAGTTGTTAAATTACAATATATTATAGATTCCAGGTCTATGGTTCTTTATTTTGTTTAATAAGGTTCACAAATATGCTATTTGGTGGTGGTGGTGTTTGTGTGTACATGCGCACCCTTTTAGCAAATCTGTATTTTCAGTCATAATCCAAAGCAAAGTGGATCTTTTTTTTCTTCTTTCAGGTGATATTTTTCTTTACAAGAACACCAAATGAAAGCCATATGGTTTGCTAGAATTTAATTTGATTCCATCTTTGTTGTGCGAGGGTGTAATTTATATAATTCCTTAAAATAAACGATTTCCCCCATAAATTAGTCATCTTGTGGGTTTTCAAAAAATGTCACAGCTGCCACACAGCCAAAGATAAATTATATAGAATTTAGCTGAATAGAAAGAAGCAAAATTAGTTTTCTATTGCCTCAGGTTAATCAGACCCCTGGGGGAAGTGGGAGGGAGACTATCACTCTGGAAGTAATAAAAACGTCTTTTGATGTTAAAGTTGCTCAAGACTCTGTCACATTTTGGCTGGTCCTAATAAAAGTATTGCCATACTATGGTTTTGGGGTTTTTTAGGTGATGACTTTCCATCCCACCCTACTGAAACATGCCAGATATGCCCTGACAGAAAATTCTGTAGCCATTTTGCTTGTGATACAGATTTAGTGAATGTTCAACACAGCTTCTTAATAACACCAAAAGTGTGTTCACCCCTTGGATCCAGACAGTTCGCGATGCTCTTTCCTCATTATAACCTGCAGAGCCTTTCTTGTGGGTACAGAGGGCTTGTGAAAAGATCTCCAATAAATAAGCCGAAAATCTGTTGCTCTTTGTCTTCTATATAATATGAGAGCGCAATTAGGGAAAGGGAAAGAAAAGACTAAATAGAGCAGGATTCTTTGGAGCTGAAAGGTGTGGAGCAGTACAGGTTGCATTCTTACAAGCTCTATAGAGCTACTTCACCACAATCAGGGCTATCTCTGACGCAAGAGGAAGGTTGGAGGAAGAAAATACATTTCTTCTCTATAGAGATAATTCCGCCTGTGAACCTGCTTGCTAAAAATAGTTAGAAGGCATTTATGGTTTAAACGTGAGCTGGACCCAGCATGTTCTCAAGCATGTTTTCAAGAGTGGGTGATGTGGAAACAGCCCCACATTTTTGTCAAGCTCTGCACAATATGCAGGAAATATTAATGCTTTTGACTCTGTGGTTCCACCACTTCAGAAACAACTGCTTGGCCAGCCTAGCGTGTGATTAAACTTTAGCACCTTTATTCATTTTCTGTAACAGGAATCTAATTTCTGTGGCATTTTTAAATGTGTTTGAGGGGGGAGGTTATTGGTTCTTTTCTCTCTCTTTTTGTGACGTATTTTGTGTTTTTATGTTGTGAACCACCCTGTAATCTTCAGCTGGTGGTGGTATACTAAATGAATAAATGAAATGGGGCAATTTGCATTGGGTAATTGGTAATAAGGGAGGAAGGGTTGAGACACTATGGCAGAGCTTTCCAAAGTTTTCATGTTGATTACAGGCTTTTTAGACGTGCATTGTTTCACAACACAGTAATTCAGTTTTATTAGCAAACCGAAGGTTAAACTAGCCCCTTTCCAACCGTGGGTGGAGCGCAAGGAGCGTTCCTGCAACACACCTAAATGCTGCAGCCGACACACTAATGTGTCGCAACACACAGTTTAGAACGCTCTTCACTATGGTGCTGATCCAGATTAGACCCCCAACTCCAGCTATTTTTTTACAAAGGAAAAATACAGTGGTCATCCAGTCAGATTCCCTGCATCACATTTACTTTTGCCCACAGTCTCCTGTCACTGTCTCTTATTCAAAATGTTTTCAAATTAAAATATGCATTTTATCTTACAGTTTCTACAGATCAAATGAATTCGGAATGACATCCAGTCCCTTTGGAAACCAAGAACATAATAATTCACAGACTTCCCCATGTGGAAATGTGAGCTGCTGCTTCTTGCTGGCTAGCAACATCTTTGACTCAATTTTTATGGGGCAGGAAAGTGAATTAACTTCTTGAAATGGACATTACCATTCAAAACTTAGAAATTCCATTTCTTATATGTTCTAAAGCTGTACAATTGTCAGATTTATATGGTTTAGATTGTAAATGTGTTTTTTCCTGGCTAATTATTGGTATTATTTTTTTAATTTTGATGTCAGAAGGCCAATGAATTGTATGATAATATGAAGGACATATTTAAAATGAAGGAGACACTGTATACAAATGTATATTTGTAAAAGCTATTTTTATGATTAGCATGTTTTATGGTTCATCATATTAAAAGTCAGGTGATATTGCACTTAAATGTTTACAGCATAACGAAATGAGATCATGAAAGATTTATGATCTAATATGTTAAATAGTATTTTAATTATTTGTATTTATTTATATTCCTGTTTTAGAGCCAGTGCATTTATTAAGAAGTAGGGTCATAATGGAGGTCAAAGTAATATCCATGCCCAGATTTATTTATTTTTTACAGCACATCATAATGCCAAAACAAATATAATTTGGATATAGTAGTTTTGTGCGCAATATATACCCCATTGAAATCAATGGAATAACTACCACTCATTTCAATACAGTGGTACCTCGCAAGACGAATGCCTTGCAAGATGAATGCCTCGCAAGACGAAAGAGTTTTTCGTTTTTTGAGTTGCTTCGCAAGACGAATTTCCCTATGGGCTTGCTTCGCAAGACGAAAAACGAAAACGTCTTGCAAGTTTGTTTCCTTTTTCTTAAAACCGTTAATACCCTATGGGAAACCGTGCTTCGCAAGACGAAAAATTCGCAAGACGAAAAAACTCGCAGAATGAATTAATTTCGTCTTGCGAGGCACCACTGTACTCTGAACTGTGCCCTCAAATCTTATGATGTTGTAAACCAACACAGATACATTTGCTGCTCTCTGACATCACCATATGTCGGACAGCATGGATTGAAATATGATTTTATTTCTTTTAAAAAGAACAGTAATACTAAAACTTCCAAGAGTGTTTGTTGCCAAATCGAAAGTTGGCATGTTGTTTGATTTCATAATTACTCTATAACCCACTGTCAGGGAACTGCCATCGGAAGGAAGGGAGGTGAAAGGACTCAGACAGGTTGGAAGAGACTCAGCAGCTGAAGAGGGAACCAGCAAGGGGAGAGAAGCTGAACTGAGGGAGGTGAAAGGGCTCAGACAGGTTGGAAGAGACTCAGCAGCTGAAGAGGAAACCAGCATGGGGAGAGAAGCTTAACAGATTTAAAGGGAGATGGGGGGATGCCTCAGAGATACTTCCAGCGAAAATCAGTGGTGAGGTTTCCGGACCTCCTGTAGGGACACCCACTCCTCGCCGGAAACTGTCACGCAGAGAGTCCAGAAGACGTGTTTCCGTTAAGGAGCTTTTATGTTGGAAGCGATTACGAAAGCAACCACTGTCGGAATCTTCTAGTGACTAGAGGAGCCATGTCAGAGGGGCTCAGTCACAGACAGAGGTTTGTGGACTTGAACAAACTCTGAGGGAATACGATTTTACGCACAAGCAGCTCATCGTCCCCTCACACCCACATTTTCCAAATTGCCAGTATTGAAGTCGCATGATAATGGCGGTATGTCTGGGTTGGGCAACCAAGCTTTGTAGCCCATAAGGTTAGTCCAATGACCTGGACTTATTTTAAACCAAACATCTATAATACTACCACAGTTTGCCTGGTGTTAAAATTGTCCTGAGCGATTTGGATGCTCCTTCAGTCAAGCACCTAACTGAACGGAGAGGCAGTTCAGATTTCTTTGTGGCATCCCTGCCAATAAAATATGAATGAGGCCCTGGATTGTGCAATATCTTTCTCTGCCTTTGTTTCTCATTCCTAAGTCTTTCTTGTGCTCTCAAAATAAGGCTGCCCAACTGTATGTTAATTTACTCTGTGGTATCTGTATAAACTCTTCCCCACACCCCTCACCAAATCTGGCAAATTTCCCCCCACATGCTACTTGGAAAATATTTATAGATACACTTAATGTTGTACAGCTGTGACTGCTTCTGCTCCAGGGGAAGAGCTGGTGATTTGACAATGCTGAAAATAAAACTGCACGGATCAGAAAAGTCTTTCCACCACCTCAGTTTCTCCCCTCTGCTGGGAGTACTGTACCATATACCTCTGCACACGGGGAAATATGGGCCAAGAGTTTTGGGTTGTTGTTGGTTTTTTTCTTTCCAGAAATCCTTCATTGTCTTTTGACATAGTTCAGCTTTATGATTCCTAAATAAAGCTAAAAAACAAATTTTAGCTTTTAGTAATATTAATATATAATTTCTCTTAAGTTTTAATGAGTTTCCTTATGCCAGGGTGTTCTTGTGTAATTAAATTATTTGGCCATTCTTAACAAGATTCAAGCCCCTTTCAGATGGGTGGGGGGGTCACACAGTCACTGAACATGTGGGGAGGGGGGTATCGCCATTCTGTCACACACACAGGTTTGCTACAAACAGGCCGCTGCCCCCACCCACACAAACTATCTGAAAGGTGCCTTACAGACTTGACAATGATACTTTTTCAGAGTACTTTCTTTAGTGCATAGAGAACTCCCCCCCCCCCCCAGTTTTGAGAGACAGAATATTTATTTCCCACGATTTCGTGTCATCTTACATACACCTTTCCTACAAATGTTTGACAGCGGCAGACCTATAAACCACAAGGCAGGACTTCCGCCACATGCTAGTTTGTTAGCACAAATCATTCGTACAATATGCATTTAGGTAGGGACATGGACCAAAGAATAACTTGTCGTTCTGATAAGCTGGCGAGCAAATCTGAATAACCCCAATTTAGAAAACCACCGCGCTCAGCTGGTAATATGAACCCGTCAGATACAAAGTCAGGCTTATCAGTCCATCTAATCCAGTACTGCCTGCCCTAACTGGCAGCTGTCTGAGGCACTGCCCTGACGCCTATTTGTTTGTGAAAAGAAGCTGCTCTACCTACATGTGCCCCAGTCTATTGCTTTATTACAGCATTTGCACTTGAGCATGCTGGTTTCCGTGTATGCACTTTCTTCTTAAGCTCATGCAATAGTTACAAAAAGGAAAGGTTCCCCCACCCCCGATCCCAAATCTAGCATGTGGAGCATGATCCAGCCCCTTCTTTACTGTGAGTGCATCAGCCACATACCTCTGTGACACAGGGGACCCAAATTGTCTCCATTTGCAATCCAATGAAGGAAACCAGATTCTTTCTTTCTTTCTTTTTCACTTTTCTGTATCCTTACATTAAGTCTTGTTATATCTTTTGGTCTACAACAATTATTTCCAAGCAGGGAAAGCGGTTTCTATAACGTTGAAAAACGTCATTACCTGTACACACTTTCTGCAGCCCTTTTCAAAGCCATGGTAGTTTTTAAACAACTATGATAGGAAGTTTATTTGCACTGAATATATTGCCCATGTGTTCTCGTGGAATCATTTCATGACGGTTCTGTTCCAAATGTTGTAACATAATTTTTACATTCCTGTAAATAAATATTTTCTCTGACTAATGCACTAACTCTCTTTAGTAGTTCCTGCTGCCAAATGCTGGTTATAGATATGGAGCAATACCCCAAATATATTCAGTCTGCCGTGCTGTACACATTTGCCTGAGAATATGCTACACTGAACACAAAGGGTGGAATTCAATGGTGCATTAAGGCGATTGTTTGGTCAGCAGGACCATTTCTGTTTGACAGATGGAACGATCTCCCCTCTCCTACCCCAGCACTGTTCTGGGGGTCCTCCTGAGCAGGTTTGGGGATAATGGAGGAGCAGAGCCCTGTTGTGCTAATGGGGGTCCACTAGCGCAACAACTTAGTTGAATCCAGCCCAATGGAACCTCCTTTTGAGTCAGCATGCCTAGGATTCAACTGCACTTCACTTAAACTACAGGTCAGTCAGAGCCATCTCCATGAGGATAAAGCTATCAGTGGCTACTAGCCGTGATGGGAATGGTCTACCTCCACTGTTGGAGATAGAATGCCACTGAATACCAGTTACTAGGAATCACAGCAGGTGAGGAGAGTGCTATTGTATACAGGTTCTGCACACAGGCTCCCCACTGGTACCTGTTTACCATTGGGAGAACACAGTGCAGGTGGACCTTTGGCCTGACCCAGCAGGTGCTGCTTATGTTCTTACTGGGTTGTGGGTTAGAGGATAAAGACAGATGAACCACCAAACCCCAAGCCCTACTGGGCTCATGCCAGTCAGCTGGAAGATGAAGGATGAGTGTCATTCCTTTGTTCTTCTCTTCTCTCAGAGGACTTAATCCCCTCCCTTGAAAAAAGTATTTCCTTCCAACTGAGATCAACAAGAAGGAAATTAACTACATCAGCTCCAGGGCTGTAGTTTCCCCCTCCGTTCCATGTTAGAGAAATGGGGAAGCTTGGGATTCTGTGGATATCTCCTAAGACATCCTATAGATATCTCCTAGGATGTCCCTGGAATCCTTTTTCATTTACCCACGTCCCACCTGACATCTAATTGAGGGGCATGTGGCTGCTAAAACAGTGCAATGTGCCTTAGCTGAATGTTCCAGGGCCTGCTTCTGATGCAGCTCAGAGGTACAGTCAAATAGTTTCCATGGCAGAATAAATAAGGAAATCAGAGTTCCGGGTCCTAGTGCCCTATCTTATGAGATGGAGTACCTGTGAAGCTGTTGATACCAGGCCAAACCATATAGTTGCTTTTCAGGATGCAAAATAGTCTATATCTGTACAGCCAGAAAGGCAAGTCTGTGGATGAGGCGGTAAGGAGGAACCATGCAAAAATAAGGCTCAACTCAGGAAGGCCAAAGAAGTACAGAAGGCAGACTCAATCAATAGGAATGGGCCACGATCTCCCCTTGTATGGAGGCGCTCTATGCGAATATGCACATAGTATGCATGCGCAGCTATTTCTCATGCACATCCAGCAAAGAGACATCAGCTTATGTGACTGGTGATGGGTACAGAGGAGAGGCAGGACAAGTCTCTACTGTGTCCCTGGAATCCCACCCTAGCCCATGCAATCTTTGACACAGAAGGGGGGGGCACAGACCTGAACCCTCCCTGTTGCAACAGATCTAGTGGGAACGGAAGGAAGGGCACCAAAATGGTAAAAACAGGGGAAAGGTGCAAATGCTCAAATTGGTGCTCATCTGCCCTCATATGTAGAGGTTTCCATATTCTTGTGCATCCTTTATTGTATATGCTCACG